TACATAGAGGTTGAGCTTAAACTCTTTGCCAGCCTTTGGAGTGTTTGTTTAGGCATGAATTTTCTTGCCCATCTTGTAGGAAGGAAAAAGTCCTGTTTTCTTTCTCAGAGATGATCTCTGGGGGTTTAGTGCCAAGCCACTGTCCAAAGGACACTGAGGAACTGTAAAGATGTTTCTCACAGGGCACTGCAGGCTGTGGAATGAGGTGAAAGGATTCTCTTTGGACCTTAATGCAATTTCTCTAGAAAAGTCATTGTAAGTGGCTCTATCTAAGGTAAGGGAAATTAGGTGACATGTTGGCAGAGCCTTTGTGAAAGTGTGGCTTTTTACATTTAATTTTATTTTTTGTATTACTTTTCCTGTGTACGTCCCTCTACGTAACTTCCTGGGGAAGGGGCAGCTTGGAGAGTGAACCACACCATGGGTGCTCGGCAAAGACAGTGTGTTGATGGGATCCCCTACCTTAAAATGGATGATATGTCCTTTGGAGACAATGCCCATGTCTTTCAAGTCTTCTTCATCCAGAAGCAGCAGCCGCTTGCCTGTGATGTTATTGTCCTTAAACAAGCTTGCGTAGCCACTCATCTCCACCGAGGAGTCACCTGCAGGGTTAGGAGAAGGCAAAAGGAAATAAGACTCCACCACACCCCCAACAAAGTTAACTCCATGAGTAGGAACATAATATATGCCACTTGCCTTTTCTGACGAGCTGCTGAACCCAAAAATACTGTGAAGAGAGGACATACGTGGTTTGGAGGATGGACACACAGTGGCCATTCTTAATAGTAAAACAGTTTTCAGTATGTGACATGAGTCTAGTTCCTGGTTAAGCCACAAAGGGAAGATGAAAGAGTCTCTGTAGTTTTAAAACTCAAGCTTTCAAATTGGAGACATTTCTTCTTTTGGAGGCCATGGACAGTAGAGGGATTTCCCTGGGTGGGTATTTTAAAATCTTTTCAAGAGGGCTCTTACAGTGATTTCCCTCCCTAAGTGCCAGTGGACCCTGGATTGCCCAGGGACAGTGGTTTCAGGAACTGTGTGAGTAAGAGGGACTACAAAGCAGTGGACAGAGAATGAGTTCTCTGTTCCAGGCCTGTCTGGTCATGACACAGCCACATGGGTCTGGGTAAGTCCAAGCGGGGAGCTTGCTATATAGTTGGATCCTGTGACCCTGAGTCTTTGGATTTCACTTGGTGCCTGCTCACTGTGGCCTCCATGTTGGGTGAAGCCATGCAGATAGGAGGCCGCACTCAAGCCCTCTCTCTGGGGAGCCCTTGACCTTGGAATTTTACTTAAATGCCTTGGAAGCCATCCACCTCAGAGCAAAAACTGAAAGTAACTGTTAGAACTCAGTGATTTTAAAACAATTTCTTTTCAAAGGAGGTGAGTCAACTTTTTGGCAGGGGATAAAGGGACTGTGTGCAGGCCTGGGAATAAAGGAGAACTTAAGTCCTCTTTCCATGGTAGGCAGGGCTGGCAGGAAAGTTGGGATTACTGGGGATCAGTGAATGGGAAAAAACAGGCAACTGGTGCCAGGTTTCGCACACGGCAGAAGCCAAAGAAGTCTTCCATCACAAGCGTACGAAGGGCAGAGAGGGGAACGCTCTGGCTCCCAGATCCAGCTGAACTAAGTAAACCGACCTTCTGAAGAGTTTCTAGTAGTGCTCCCCGGGGTGAGGCCAGTCCCAGCTAAGCTAGTGTTCCATCTTGATTTTCTTCTTCGTTTAATGATACCCTTGAGCTTGTAAATTGGACCTGGACAGGTGTAAGTCCTTGTGGTCTCTGATCAGGAATTCTCAAGCCTGTTTCATTATCACTTAGGAAACAGACATGGAGACGTAACAGGCTAAGGAAGAAAGCTGTTCTTAAGGCTTCTACTCAAGAGTAGGGAGTGTAAGACTTTTTTGAACTTAAGTATCTGCCCACATCTTCCCAGCTATATAGAACTCTGCTGGCTACAGCAGCAGAGGATGCCGGGAACAGTGTGGCTGTTCCTCCTGTGAGAGCTTAAGGACGGCCAATGTGATGTGGTTGTGTGCAGGTGTAAGTGGGAAGGACACGCAGGGTGACCCCAGCCCACCAGTGCCTTTAGCAGATTCTTCTTCATATGACTCAGTCCACGCCTGGGTTTTTAGGAAAGTTTAAGATCTATTTATTTTTCAAGTTTGTTCATTTGGTTACCTAGGTCATTTTATTTTGCTTTGTTATTGCTATTTTTTTATTGTATTCTAGAGTCAACAGGAAGGTGGGATCCTTTTACAACATTGGAGGAGATACTTGCTGTTGAATTTGCAATCATTACTAAACCAGAAAATAATGGAATGTGTCAGCTTCTGTTAACCAGACTTCCCTATGGCCTAAATTCTTCTAGCTGCATTTTAAACTTGTAGACAAATGTCTGAAATACCTGCCCAGGCTCAATGAGGCATCAATAGAAGCAGCTTACCACGTCGTCTTCAGTCCATGCACTAATCTCAAAGGAAGGCAGCAGCTGCGTGGGAAATATGAATGAAATGAAAAAGAGAGTAATATTATCCTTGTCTTTTTGGTTTATCCTCTGGGGTCCCTTAGCTCTGAAATGCTGCTCTGGCTTGATTCCTTCTGCAGGTTGGAAGAATGGGAAAGAATTTCCCTGCCTCTAAGAAGTTCTCAGTGCTCCAAGGATTTTGATCCAGAAGCCAATAATGCACAGCTACTGTACTTTCTGAGCTGTTCCAGGCAGGACTTTGCACAACTTGGTATATTCTTCTCTTGGTCCTCGGCACACCAGGAATGGTCTTGCATCCCATAATAGGACTGAGATAGGGAATTTCTGACATTAACCAGGTACCAGGGCTTTCTTCAGAATTCTCAGCCCATTAATATGAGGTTCATTTATCAATGAAAATTCCAAACCAACCACTTGGTAGCCAGATAATTGATTATGCCTCTTTTCACAGGGGTATTTCTAAGTGTTTAGATATCTCGGTTGCACTGCATTTGTAAAACCAAGTTTGGGGACCCATGGAGGATGGACTCGTGAAACTGGAACTGTCCTAAGAAGCCCAGGTGTAGCCACCCTAACATAGCTTAAAACACGTCTCTGCCAGCTGCACTAGCAGGAACGCAGCCTTTGCAGAGCACTCAGCCTGGTCCATCTTCACAGCCAGAGCTTCTCACTTCAGTGGCTGCCCCATGGCCACAGGCTAAATGATCCTTGCTTATGTACTTGAAAAAGATGGTGTGTTCTATGGTTACAGTTAGAGTTTGGTAGAGTCATTGGCTCTGATTAGCTTTTTAACATTTGCTAACATGTTTGGGGGCACTTATGAAATAACATGTTAAAGTATCATCTCATAGTGGTTGTAGATGACTTAAAAAATGTTGCTTTTACTGTTACACAAACGATCAGAGGGTGACTGAGTTAATATTTCTAATCTCTGTTATTTTGTACTCATATACTCAAAACTCTGCTAGGAAAGGTATATCCCTTTCAAGGAGCTTTTAATAGACATGAGGGTGAAACAGGTGTGGATTGTACACAGGGGAGTCCAAGACAGCCTTCATCACGGTTTACTCTGTACGTAGCATACACTACCTGGCATGTTGCTGAATCGTTTTATAGAATAAAAAAAATCAAAGAGTGCACATACTATAATGCTAATTTCTCTGGCAAAGAGTTCAATGGGTATGGGTACACAAAGCCTGATATAGTCACAAAGTGTTTCATAACAGGGCATGGAGATATGGAGGGCACAGTGGCTTGAGCTGGGTACTGCAGGGCTAGGAGGAGAGGTGATTCCAGGCGAAGGGAAGATACAAGGCAAAACACTGGCAATGGTAGGAGCAGGAAGGAGAGCAAGAGGATGGATACAGCATGTTCTTCTAACTGGAGCACAGGATTCACTGAGCTCATGTTGGAGGAAGAAGGGGAAATGAAGCAGACTCAGGGATGGGGGAGTCCCAAGTTTTTAAAAAATTCTGCTAGTTAACATAAATGTGTAGAGTTTGAGTAGTAGAGTCAGCTTGCAAGGATATAAAGCACATGCTTAGATCGGTATCATTCTACAAATACTCTGCTACCTCACGTGCCTTGATTCCCTCAGGATTGCCGCTTCTTCCTCTAAAACACCTGAGATATGTAGGAATCGCCCCACACCTGCACCTGCTTTAACAATGTGGCAAGGAGAAAGACTTGAGGAATCAAAGCCAAAGCTGAACTCGATCAAAGAAAATACATGACAAGTTTTATTTCCTCACAGGGCAGCTGGATACAGCTGCAGAAACATGTCATTGCCTTCTCCCATCACAGGCAAAAATATGAAACGAGGAACTTTTTGATTAGTTCAAGAAACACCAGACTGCATTACAGAAATATTTCTCTGCATCAAGGCTGGCTTTTACAGGAAATGGGGTGTGTATGGTGTTTTGATTTTTATATGATTTCCAAATGTTATGCCAAACAAAATTGAGAAACAAATATTTCTTGAGTAGAATAAAGGCTGTAAATGAAACCAACATCCTTGGGTTTAACGTCAAAAGGAGAAAAGAGTTCTTGCATTCTGTGGATGGGTCATCGACATGACATTAAGGGAAAGACACTGGACTCCATCTGATACTCACTCCTGCAGAATTCTCTGCACGGTGCTTAGAAAGATCAGTGAGAGGAAGGCTGGAGCCAGACACTGTTGCAAGACGTTTTGGATTTGGCAAGACAGGGAGAAGAGTTAATGATCTCCAGCCACAAAGTGGCTCACCATTTCTTTTATGTTTCTGTGCCTTGTTAACATATCAGTGTATCTGCTGTAGGATGAGTTCTAAGCCTTTCTCTTTCTTTGGGGATTAAAAAAATCTCTCATGACTGCCCCATCACTTTACAAATTCATTATTTACACTCCAACTGACTTCGGGAAAGAAAAGGTAACACTCACGTGTATGTGTGTGACAAGGATTCCTTCAAAGGATGTTGCAGGTTCAGTCTAACAAAGATTTTATATACACAGCAACACATAACAAAGGGATTTACTGTCAAAACGTTTATTGCAAAATGGAGTCTTAGAACAAAAGAAAGCAAAGTTCACATCAAAATGAAATGTATGACACCAACTTGGATTTCTGAATACATTGTGGACTCTGAGCTGGAATATCAAATTCCAATATGAAGTCAGTAACTGAGTAGTCTTACCACACAGGAGTAAAATTTAATCTTCCATACAAACATTATACATGATACTTGGCATAGGACTTGCTCAGAATAACATTGCAATAGAATAACTGCTAGAAGGTTTTTGTTAAAAAAAAATAGTGATAATGCCATCTATTCAAAGCTCACACCCAAAGAATACAAATATTTTCTATTATTTAACACAAAATTTTAAGAGTGCAAAAGCAATATGTGCAGTGTATTATATCTGATATTAAAAAGATATACTGTTCTGCACACAACATAAAAGAATTAATGTAGGTGCCTGAAATTCTAATTCTGAAGTAAGTAATCACATGCCAGAAAGCTCTTCAAAAGCAAGAGTGCATATGAAGTCAGGGTCTCAGAAAGCATGGCCATTCCCCAGTTTCCTGACAAACACTCATTTTTCATCATAGAAATGCTGCACCTAACGCTATCAGGCTATGCTAGAGTTAGCATAGAGCAGAGTCTGTCTGGCGATGCTTAAAATCGAAAAGGAAAACAGTTTTACTCAAATGCATCAAAAGGTGCCTGATTATAGAAAACTTATGCTCTATCATATATGTGGTATGGTGAGATTACTAGTTTTACACAAGGCTACTGTAATGAAAATTTTTAAAAAAGAACATCAATATTTAACTCAGACCAAGTTTCAAAGCTGTCTTTCATAAAACTCTTAGCACTCTAATGAAAAATTAAGTTATATACATAGTGAGACCTCACTAAGAGAAGTCATTCTGGAGCTCTTCTAAACCCTCGCCCAATGCCCCAATTTGTTTTATTTTGATAGGGATCAAGTTTAAATACCTGAGCTGTTTTAAGGTCTTACAAATCCACTGCATGTTTAGAAGACTCACTGGCTAAAATCCAGCCTTCAGTATAGCCAGAGAATCAAATATTGTGTGCTATGTGCCTCCACCCTCTTCTCACTGGCTTTTTGTAAGAAATATTAAAATGTGATTTTATTTTAATAAGATAGCTGTAGCAAAGGGGGCTTTCAAATTAAACGGACTGTTTTGCAGAACCGTAGCTACCTCAGTGTAGTTTTTCTCTTTCATACATTGCGGAATCATCATAACTGGAGGGTGACACCCGCTTCTAAGATGAATCTGGCTATTTCATAAAGTGGTCAACAGCACTCCTAAGAGGGAAGAAGCCATTTTTCCACAATTGGTTATTTGAGATAGAGGCATAAACTTACAGAACTCAAGGTTGTGCATGTGTAGTTCTGAAAATGTATTTTGATTTTGTTCCAGCTTGGGTATTTTGTTTGGGGAGAAAGCTGAGGTGGAACTTTAAAACTGCCAGGTGTAACACATTTCTCAGTGGAGAAGACACAAGGTTAGTGGTATGTAGGATGGAATTTGTCACAACGTGATAATGTCCCTGCCACGGAAGATGTTAAGTCTCGGCAGTGGGCACTAAATGCTGCTCTGCTCATCGTGACAACTGTAAATGTGTCCTAGTATCCCCAATACCATTAGGTGATGACACTATGCCAGTTGAGAGGCCCTAGTGGGGTGTCATCAAATTTATATGCTCAATTTTCTGAGCACAGAAAAAGAGACAAAGAGTGGTAGTCTTATGACTACCATGACTCATAATTATTACCATAATTTGGCATTTGAATCCTCATTTGGTATCTTTAAATTTCTCAGTGTTTCTTTTACTCTTCTCTTTTGAAATGTACATTTTGTAAGTCAAAGTAACTGCAACTAAATCTAACAGTGATAATTTGCCATTTGAAAAACTAATGTGTAAAGTGAATTAGAATCTGCACAATTAATATCACTAGAAATTCTGCATACGCTTCAGACAATTTTTAAATTAATAAAACTAATATAATCTAAAGTCTTCTAAATAATTTTTACAGACAAAGTGAGACTATAAAATTCTGTTTGTATGATTTAGATTTCAGGGATGTTTTACCATTTTTTCAAACTACTACAAGGACACTGTTTTGGGACAGAAAGTAACACAGCTAATGCCAAACACATAATGTCATGTGCAGAACAACTGCCGGCTCTTCATGGGGGCCAGCTCTGCTGTACCCTAAATCTTGTGGTTTCTTCATGGCAGAATGTTGAGTTATAAACAGTTTTGGAATACTGTTGAGGAAAACAGTAGTAATTAAAAGGTGAGCGAAATCTTACCTCCATAATGATACACCTACTTCTGTATATAGAGTTCTGTAACTTTCCTCTTTCAGCCCTATTTGGCTACTTTTAGTGCACCAACACTTTATATATAACCATATTTTATATGTAAATATTAAGGTATCATTTTCATTCTGGCTAAATGTTCTAAATAGACGCCTGATTACTCCTAAGTGAGAGGCAAGAATCACATTCTGACATAAAAAGTGCCAAGACTCTGCCACCTGCTGAGATTCTCGCACTTTCTTCAGGTTTGCTTCAGCATGACCAGCAATGGGGCCTTTCTTGACCGCACTAAAAACCTCCACATGCTCCCTCTGGCTTATCATCTCTCCCTGCTTTGCAAGCATTTGGTGGAAATTAACATATTGTATGATGCACTGCGCAGGTTGCTGAACTCCTCTCACTAACACGTAAGCTCCACGAGTGCAAAGATTTTCATCTAGCTGCTCCTGGAACAGTACTAGCATAGAGAGGCTCAGGAGTACCAGCTGAACGAATGGCTTTAGCTTTGCCTGGAAGATGTGCAAGAGGCTTTAGAGCCCCGTGCCTTCTGCTTTCTCTTCAGAGGCCCTGGTCAGGACGGCTGGGAAGCGGGTGGTAGAAGTCATTCCATCCACTCCTCTCCACCATTTTTTTGCCTAAGTGGCTAGCTGAGGTCAGGGAGTACTTCTGTCTGAACACAGGCTGCCCATGTATGTGCACATGCATGTAGATCTATGCACGTGGATAGAGGAGTAAAGCAGAGTAACCATAAGGGGGATCCATCTTCCGGGCAAAGGTTTATGGGCTCCTTCTGTGTTTACTCAGCCTGTGGGTGGTGGCAGCCTGCAACACCTCACACCAGGTGCACCTGGTCAGAGCTCAGTTTCCAAAGAGCAACTGGATTAAACCTATTTGTACAGCTTACACCCTAATAATGTTTGCTTTATCTTTACTGGAAGCTTTACACTTAAAAAAAAAAAAAAAAGCCAGTCAAATTTAGCAGTGGGGGGGGGTGGTATACCAACTTTAGTGACACTAATGTTAGTAAGTTCTGATAACCCACTGCCATCGGACCAGCCAAGCTTTACACTTTTAATTTAATTTCATCTTAGCCTAAGCAAGCATCATTAGAAATTGATAGTTTAGTTTTCTAGAAGGGTATGGAAATCACTCATTGTTCAGTGCCTTCTCACTGGAACAACAGCAGCTGACAAAAACAGGCCACTCACCACGGGCCTGGTACTACGCTAAGTGCTTCTCATATTATCTCTTGTAATTCTCAAGACAGTGCTCTGAAGTAGGTTATCATTATCCCCATGTCAATGATAAACAAACAAAATCATGAAGATTAAACTTTCCTGAGACTGCACAGCAAAGCAGAACCTAGAACATCCTACTTGTTAGTTCTCCCCATCATTTGACGGTGGTTTTCAGCTTTCAGCAGGGATTAGAAACAACTATATTTCAAAGTCTAAACAATTTTTTTCTGATAAGGTATACTCGAAGATACTATTAGAAACATTTGTGATATCCTTTCTTAAAACTTCCACATAAAAGCCTCCAAAACTATTAGAGTTTGAGTCAAATGACCCTGCTTTCCAGTTCAGACTAAAAAGTCTGTTCTTTTGCTTTTTAACTAATTGCCATTTAAAAAATCGTATGTTGTAGTTTAAACAAGTTTTGACAAACATACGGTAGTATTTAGAGAACATTCTGGGTAGCCAGGGCTTCAGAGCACCTGCACCTATTTTTCTAACACACCTGCATCACCAAGCAGGGCTAAAAAAGGACAATTCTAGAAATCTAGATCTGACATAGAAAGGACCCTTCACAGTGAGCTTTTGCCTAAGTAAAGATAATGTATCTTCCCTATTCTTTTTACAGTATTTAATTTCCTCAAGATATGCATATTTATATTTAGAATGCAGGGTTATTATGCATTTCTGGAAAACAAAGAAAACAGACAAGCACGTAGCATGCCCTTACTGGACGGGCAGAGATGGCGTGTCTTCGTGTGTAAAGTACAAGCTAAGCCCCAGATGTTAAGAAGCTTCCAGGACTAGTACCAGTAAGCTTGTGGCTTCTGCTGTTCACTTCAAATTAGTTTTCCTCCTCAAATGTACTACTGAGGACACCTCCAGGGTTTTACTTTGAGAAGCTGTGCTATTTAGTATGGAAAAATTCTTGGCATTTCTGAAGAAGCACTTTGTTATAACCCTTTATCTCATTTTCTTGTAGCTGGATTTTGCAGTCACTATCAATCATTTCTGACATTACAATGTATTGTCTTGAGAAAAAAATATGGTATATTACAAAAGAATCAAGTGTCAAAGAAGGATTAAGAGTGAAAGGTGCTTGTTCAAAATGTAGGTTTTCTTAATCAGCTGAATAAAGATAATAAAATAAAGTCAAATACAAATTATAAAATATTCATTAAGAAGAAAACCCAAGAATGAAAACCCTTACTATACTGTATATAGAATCACAAATTTCTATAATCAGGCACCACATTTGCTGATTCATAAATACACCTTTGGCTTAATCACACCACCCCACTTTTCTGAGAGCAAAAATAAGTAAGAAGTAAATTACTGTCCTGTAAATATAATTGACCTAAAAATGCAGTGCTTGGTTTTCTGCCTCCTTAACTGTTTTTGTACAGACTGAGATAACAAGTTTCTTTCATTTTTACTGAACATTTCCAATTTTATTCGTTTGCTTTCTCTTTTCATTCACTATTATTATCCATGTCATTCTCCTCCTCACCAGCATCATCGTCATCACCTTCTGACAAGTCAAAATCACTGAACCCCAGGGCCATGTTGACTTTCTTTCCCCTTCTCTTAGATGTGGTTTTGGAAGAATTCTGCTTGGCTTGCATGTTTATCTGCATCCCAGAATGCAGCACCGCTCCTGCTTTGTTCATTGAGAAGATATCCCCAAAGCCCATCAGCATCATGGCCTGCAGACCTGGGTTCATGCCATGTCCCTCCCCGTTACTTGCTGCTGTGATCTGACATGACATCTCTGCACTGTTTGATTCCTCTGTTTTAGATTCAAAGTAAGACTCCTCAGACATTCTTGCAGCAAGAGGCAAGAGAAGCTATCAAAGGGAAAGAAAGGACAGAAGTAAAAAGAGAAATTAGGACCAATTTAAATAAGGGGAATAGATACCACAAAATTAGTTCGCACTGCACAGGAGGTGATTAGTGAAATACATGAACACAGGGAATTATTTCTGAGAACTTATTTAATGGCAGATTTGGCTCTAGTGTATTTGCCATAATTTATGAATGACAGAATAAATCTTATCCAAAAGTCTGCACTGTAGCAAGCCAAATTCCAAATGGACAAGAAGGTTCAAGTTTTAAGCTTAAAATCATTTTCAGAATTTCTCTTAATTTTCCCCAATTTTACTTTCCCACAGAAATATTTAGTTAAACACTACATTTTTTTAAAAGGAAGAAGAAATGAAGCAGAGATTAAATGGCAAGTAAAAATTAAGAAATTCCAGTACCAAGGAAGAAAAGCCCAGAGGAAGCATAAAAACAGTTCAGGTGTCAATGCAGTTCTGCAGAAATTTGGGTGGTAAACTACATTTTAAAACTAGACTAATACTCTGAATACACACTGAAATCAGTCTAGAATTTTACTTGCTTCATCTATTATTTATTATAGCCAGGTACAAAGTAATAGCTTTTATTCAAACCATAAAATAATTCACTTGAGAACAAATTTTAAATTCTGTCTCTTTTATACATAAATATGTAAACATGTGAAAACTGAGGGAAAGTATTAACTTAGATTGCTACCTTTATCCCAATACTCAGGTTTCCTTGTTTTTATAGGACTTTTCCCTTAGAGTTCTCATTCTCACTGTGGTGACAAATATTTCTTATTCTATGTAATTATTTTGATCAGTCAACCCAGTTCCATGAACATTTGGTTATATTCATTTCAGGGGTAAAACTAGGATATGAAAAATGTTAGTGCCTCTTCTTTTGAGAAATAAGTAACTTAAGGTATATATATATATATATATATATATATATATATTTGTCTTTTTCGTTTTTATCGGTACCAGGGATCGAACTCACGACTGTCTGCTTGCAAGGCAGGCGCTTATGCCGCTGAGCTAAATCCCCAGCCCCTCTTAAGGTATATTTTTGATGTGGTTCAATATGAATGAATTATGATACTGTAATAGAATAACCTTTACATTCTGTGCATAAAACTACCTAACAGTTAGAAGCAATTTCCTAATTTTTAAACTTAAATTGGAGCTGAATTTTTTTAACAATCTATTAAGAAAAGACTTCTGCAGCTGTCAGTACAGCAACAAGTTTGTTTAATTTAGCTAAGAAGTACCAGGTATACAGAAGAAAAAAAACACTGGTTTTAATCCTTAAATATTGGAAACAGAATCATACTTCATTGCAGCCAACTTTCTGGGCTTTGTTTTCTATGGTTGCTTATTTAATTATTTCAGAGGTCCTTCCTTCCATTGTGCTAGGTACTAACTATTCCTAAAAATTGTACAGCAAGCTACAACAAATAACCAAAAAAAATAAACATTATTCCTATTTATGAACTTATCTTCAAATATTTTTAACATTTTAGTTTAAGAAAGAAAAATATCTTTGAAAACAATTCAAAAACATAATTTTTAAGAAGTGACATAAATGTTAAACTTAATGTTTAACATAAATGTTAAAATTAAAACAGGGGCAAAACACAGAAAACCTAAGCCTGCAGCCACTTTCTTTTTAAAGATTGATTTTTATCTTTCAGTAATCTCATTTGAAGCTGGCTAGAAACTGAAGAGAGGATAAAAGAAAACACCTCCTTATAAAAATACCTGAGCATAAACTTTCTTTCCTTCAGAAATACCAGCTCTGGGCACAGGAGACATTAAAAGGAAGTGCTATAAAAAAGGAAAACTTAGCCCTCGTAAGTAAAAAAGGGAAGAAAATCTCATTGAGCCTGCGCTTCATGCTGTCCATTGTTAGCTGCAGCCCTCGGCGCAGGCCTTTACACAAAGTTTGCTGGAGTTAAAACGCAAGCATACAACCTACTGAGCGCTCACAGCCCTTTATTATTTATTATACAACTATGCTGCCACTGAATAGCAAAAACGTGTGCAAGGCAGCCCATAATTTCTTAGCAGAACTCATGACAATAAACCAAAGAAAGGTTCTAAAGCATACTCTACTAGGTGGTTTAAAGTTTTTTCTTACAATACTACATTTAGAGTCAAGCCATGCAGTGCTTTATAGCAAAAGATTTCAATGCATTTAAAAAACAAAATAAGAAACTTCTCAGACTTCCAAGGATGTGCTGTAAGGACACGGCCAAATTTGCTTCTGCCCCTCCACAGCCTGGGAGAAGCAGGACTCCTGTGCATACGTGGCAGCAGCTTTCTCAGCATGCATAGGAAACTGCACTACCCTCTCGGGAGCCAACCTAGATTCACAGAATGCCCTATGACAGTCCTGGCAACTAAATCCTTATTTTGGGATTCCCTGGATCACCACAGTCTATTAAAAAATATTAAATCTGATAATGAACATTTAACTTGTTTTTTCTCTCTCTCTCTCTTTTTTTTTTGATATCAAGTTGCTTCCCCAAACAGCTTAGAAAAAGACACGAGCTATTTTATTCTTAAGACACTGGAAATACTTTGAAAATGGGCATAAGACACTTAACAGAAAGTAAGAATTTTAAAGAAATTTCTTTGGAGGTCCCAAAACTAAGGGTCTTTTTCCTTTTGTATAACTGTCACAGCAACTATAAAAATGAATTTAGTATGTATAATAAGTTTATTTTAATCTACCATTAGTTGTGATTTTAAGTGTACAAATATTGCCCATTAAAAACTCTGGGAAAGTCAATGATAAATTTAGACTTGATTTCTGAAAATAAGACTTTTAAAATAGGAAGAATGCTTCAGTTGGATTCGAGTTTAATGTATCATGTCAGCATGCAAACTCAAGATTAGTGTATAAATAGTGTGACTCTTAAAAAGAATTTTTATGTTCCTCTAACGACAAGACTTGGGGAAAAAAACAAGCCTTCCTAGAGATGGAGCATACTGGAAACTTGTTTGAAGAGAAATCTTTTCCCAGTCTTTTGCTGCCCATAATCATAATACCAAAATGAGTAAGAAATAGTAAGGCTTGTCATTTATGTATCATCTGGCTGGCTTGGTTTTAGAAAGAAAATGTGGTAAGTTCTGACACATCAAAGGCTGCCTTAGTGTTATAGTTATTAATTACTGATGGACTAAAAAGTTAATCAGCACTTAGGCACATGTTCTGGGAATCTAACAGATGGTGTGAAAACGCATGGGATTTTGTTTTTGTAAACCTAACACACAAACACACTGAGAGAATGAGAGTTCTTAAGGAAACAGGCAGAAGTAGGATAAGCTTCTTCCCCTACACTTTGAACACTTGAATCATGTACACTACTTCCTACAAATGCGGGCGGAAGGCAGAAGGAGGGGTGCCTGGCTGCCATGCTCAGCCTCTGCTCTACGTGCAGCGTGGGAAGCTCGAGCGGGACAGTACTCACCGGGGTGTTGGACTGTTCTGTCAACTTCTGCTCCCACATCTTTAGCCGTCTTTCCCGTTCTTTGAGCTCTTGCTCTTTAAAGCTGAGATCACGTTCTAGCTTCTTTAGCCGCTCAAGGGTTGCCTCAATTTCACACCTGTGCAGGGATAACTGGTATAAGTCTGAAACCTAATGAAGCGACAGTGGATGCTCAATGGGTCCATCCAAAGGCCAATCAGAGTAAAAGACTAGTTAACACACGTAGGCCTTGAAATTGACTGGGAAATGGCCAGCAGACCCTTTCACATTCTTAAAAATCAAGAGGTAGTTTTTAGTTTGGAACAACAAGCTTGAAGCACTGCAACAAAGCACTGCTGAAGAGCAGCTGGGATGTGGCGTAGGTATGGAGCTGGTGTCCTGGTTGGCTCTCTGGTACATGTCTACTTTCATTTAGCCCTTCACAGTTTACGAAGCACTAGTATGTAGTTTCTCGTCTTACTTCACAGATTCTTCCAACTCTAGACAATTTTGAATTATGGATGGGAACATGAAATTTAGGCTAGGTGATCAAGTCATTGAGATGGCACTTTAACCTACCTAGTAGCTGAGTCACCCAAGAAATCAACTAATGAACCTTAGATCCCTTGGTAATAAGGGGTAGTGGTTGCATCATGTCAGAGGTACACAATTTGCCTGATCCTAAGAATCACCCCGGCAGCTTGTTGAGAACAGGACACAATTAAGCCCCTTCCTTGGAGTCATGGTTCAGTAGGCTGGATGGGGGCAGGAATTTCCATTATTTAATGATTGAGCCAGGTAGCTTTTACAATCGGTTAAGTATAAGGCACTGTTGGCCTGAGGAACTCTCACAGGCTCTGGTAATTTTTGAAGGAAGTTCTCTCCTTCATCTTTCTGGGCAATCAGCTTCATATCTGGAACATCATGCCCAGTGGCAGAAACCTGTCCTTCACAGAAACGCACTGGGAAGGTGGCTTTGTACAAACTTTTTCTCCTTCAGAGCTGCTACGATGTTAATGTACACATTTATGCTCTGAGAACTGGAAGCTGTTACCTAGAGTTTCTGAAGAGTGTGTAAGTAGGCCACAATAACGAGAGAACACTTAGTGGGCAAGGATTGAGGGAGAGGGAAGGAAAGGCCAGAAAGGTACACAGAGAAAGAGGAAGAGAAAGGATCGATGACCGGATTCGGCTTCCCGGTGCCACTGAGACACAGCTGCATTACAGGTTTCATCGCCACAGTCAGGATTTTGAGTGTGGAAGAGAGAGGTGCCCAGATTTAAATTAATGAATATATGTAACTAAAATCTGCCTTTTTATTTCCAGGAAAAATCAGAATAAGTGGATGGCTTACTCTCATGCTCTCACAGATGAGAATTACATTAATAAAAACAAGAAGGTTCTAAGTATTAATTGGCAAAGCCCAACTCAGGAAACATCTACTGAGACGGGTGGATTTGGGCCCAAGGCTCCACGTCCCTGCTTGTCTGGGGAGCTCCTCAGAGAAACGGAGACACAAGTAAGCATAACATGATAGAATCAAGTCCCCCCAAAACAAGGCATTAAAGCATCAGTCTTTCAGAATTATGACATCATAAAGTCTAAATTTATTTTTGACAAATTATTTATGATTCTGTCACTTAATTTATTTCTGACAAAAGTATTATTACAATCCACAAACAAATGGAAGATGGGAGGATCAATATGGCAAACCTTCAGGTAAACTGTTCTAACAAGAAGGGCACTCTGTCTTCAGTCAGTGAGGGCCAGAGTGGCAAGCAGGCCGTGCAGCTGGGCATGCTCGTTAAGATGAGAAGGCAGTGGTCTGGACCTTCGACCTGTGGGGCATTCAGCCAAGCCAGTCCCAACAGTCCTGCCAGCAAGACCGATCTCACTGATGTCCTTTCTAATCAGGGAAAACAGCCAACACATTCTGTTTTACTTGTAACTGAACCCAAGTTCTCATCTCAAGTTCCAGCTCTGGGAGCCTCTGTGATTCTGAGCCCTTCTGGAAAGCAGATCAATGGTTATAAGTCAGCCGAAAGCAGTGGCACAGAAACAAACAATGACTGAGAAGGCCCAGCCTGCCTTCCTCCCCATGGCCAGCTTCCCAGCACTGCCCATCCAACCTGCCCCCCAGGACCCGAGCTGTGCCATTATGGGTGAAACCTTAAACCTGAGACATGCAGAGGCTGCTCCCCTCATCATTCCCTTTGCTTTTGCTGGAGCATTGCTTTACATCAACTGCCTTCACTAAGGCATGTATGTAACCTTTCTGTTCTAAAAATATAGTTTAAATATTTGAGTTGATGAAAATTTTGGTTACTCTCAAAACAAATCCAACTGAGGTTGATTTCAACTATCAACTTTCCCTATGCTAAAAACTGGCAACAAACTGTAATTATCGTCTTTTCTTACAAATTTACTTTGAAATAAAAAAAATCAATTTGCTAAGGCAGCAATATAGTATTGTGTATACATGTTGTATGATATGTAAGTATACTCAAGTTTGTGTTTATGTTAAATAATTTGTGCTAATATCCAAATGGAAGAGATTACATTTTCTTGGTCTTTTTTTTTATTTTCAAGAAGGCAGATCATGGTGAGAGTACTTTGGTCATCAAGGAAAACATACAAACAACAAAGTATTTTGCCACACAACACAGTGAGATTTGAACAGTCCATCACGCCCTATGTAGTTCCCTCAGTGCAGATTGCAACAGAGTTGTACACAGTCACATGGGTGACAGACAGCCAAAAATGGGACCAACAGAAGGGCATGGTTCTGCTCTTAATGTTTGTAAGTCACTGGAGAGAATCAAGCTGAGGTTCTGATAAATAGGGAAATGTCAGATACTAAATTTCTTTCCTATCACTTAGTAGGTCAAAGGGAAAAACACAGCTTATGTGATTTTTAGTAATCTACTTTTAAAAGAAATTTCAGAATCACTTAATTGTCTAAAAATAGATATTCCATCTGGCCCATGTGTAGAAGAAGCTCTTTCAGAAAACAATCATCTGACAAAAACACCATGGCAGAATTGGAGTTGTACTTTTCTGTGACTCTTGTTTGCAAAAATATCCTTTGGATCGTAGTCATGTGGCTTTAGGCACCAGATACAAGTTGGGAGAAAGCAGGGAGCAATCTGAATGTGTCATCATTTGAAATATCCACATGACCTGATAAAAACATCCCTTCTTTTTAACACTCAGCACATCAAGTAAGACAATCTTACTGCCTTAAGAATACTCTAAAACAATTGTGCCCTGCAAAATGCCTCAGAGATAAATATGGGTCTAGCTAAATGAATGCTGCCTGTGTAACTGTGGATGACATGACTGTAGAGCATATTTGTCCATAGACACTGTACTGCGTTACAGACTCCTAGTACAGGATGACCTCAGGCAAGCGACCAACCCCCTACGCCTCAGTTTTTACATCTGTGAAACAATTACAGTTGCCATAGAGATTTAAAAAGATGATCTAAATGAAGTGCAAAGATTCATTAGGAGCCTAATAAACAGTAACCGTGTTTATTTTTTTTAACTGTAATTGATGTTACTCCCCATGTTTTTAACCAATTGCCAAGTCTGTTTACAGCAGCCCTGCTGCTTCCAAGCTGTGGTTCTCTGGCTTGGGTAAGGGTATACATTCTCCCTGCAGCTCTTGAGCAGGGCCAGCAGCTCACGAAAGAGCCACAAGGGGGTCCTTGGGCAATGGTGTGCCTTCCACTAAAATATATGAAAGGATTCACCTTTTTTCCCCCTCATACTCTATTACCAATTTTATTCTCCTCATTATTCACCTTCAAGTATTTCTGTTTGGTTTGGTTGGAGATGGGAGTCTGGTATAGTGCACAGACTAAGCTCAAACTTGTGATCCTCCTGCCTCTGCCTCTGAGCAGTCTAAGTTATAGGTGTGTACCACCACACTTGGTTTTCACCTTGAAGTATTTCAAAAATTAAATTTGTCATTCAACTAATCCAGACTTAATGTATACAAATAAAAATCATTCTTCAATAATCCCATTACACGGTGATAAAACTTACTTTATATTTTCCCTTATGTTCATAGACATATATACATGAGTATGTGTTTGACAGAAATGGAATCATTCTAAACAAATTAGACTGTAGAGTCCTTATTTAAAAGTCATTTAGCAGATCTGTGTAACCATGAACTTTTCTATATTATTTTGTGTACAGAGATATTGTCATTTTAAAAAATCATTCCTCTTGTATTTTGTATAATTTTTCATTGTGCAATTCAAATGGAGCTTGGCTGGACAAATGCCCACACATTTTCCACACAGCCTTTCCATTTATTTGCATAGGAATAAAATGGTAGTGGTAAGATTTCTGAGACAAATCATATGAACACTTTTGGGGCATCTAATTTTCCTACTAACAATGCACTGGAAAGCCTATAGTACTGGATACTCTTCATAATGTAAAACTTGCCCATCTGATAAAACAAATTCTGATCCCATGTATTTGTCTGATTGTTAAGTGAGGTTGAATTTGTAGTGTTAACCACTCCACATCTCTTTTTATGAAATGCCCCTTCATGTCTTAGTATGATATTTTAATAAAAATGTAGTGTAAAGATAGTTACTCTATCAGACTGGTTTTCTGTGTGTGGACTGGAGACCATGAAATGTTTCTAGAGGATTCTTGAAATTGGTTTGTACAGTACCAGTAAGACAGAATTTCCTTCTATAATCCTATCCTTTTTGGAGGGTTCATGACACGTGACAGCCATAAGCTAAATGCCAGAAACAATCTTGTACTGATTTTTGTTTGAGACAGAATCTTGCTATGTATTTTAGGCTAGACTTGAACTCATGGCAATCCTTCTGCCTCAGCTTCCAAGTGCTGGCATTATAGGTGTGAGCCACCACATCAGGTTTCTTATTTATTTTTAAATGAATCAATAAATGTGTATTTAAATTTTTTTCTCATTTTTCCTCCCAGTACTGGGGATTGAACCCAGGGTCTCAATCGTGCTAGTCACAGTCTTATGCATGTGTATCCATTTTTGAGATAGAGTCTAAGTTGCCCAGGTCAGCCTTGAACTTTTCATCTTGCTTCAGCCTCTCAAGCAGCTAGGATTACAGTCATGCACCACCGTGCCTGGCTTCAGCTATTTTTATTAGTTCTATTTTTCTGTTGTGGTATTAAATACTGACAGATATAACACACTTAAACAAAAGTTCTTTGGGTTCTTCAATAATTTTTAAGAACATTAAAAAAGTTGCAACAACATGTCATTTGGAAATTTATTCATCATGGGTACTGCTTTCAGCTATATGAAGGAAGGCTTGGAAGTTTTATACACAAAATTTACCAACTTCTCTTTGTTTTCAGATTTTGTTGCTATCTCAAGGGCATTAATACAAATGTTAAAATCCACTAATCCTTTGGATAACAGATCAAATAGCATTTCCTTGGGGAATCCTTTCATTTAATCCTCAGACTAGATCAGATTCCACGGTTAATACTCTTGGATATCCAGTACTTCTCTGTCACAACACATGTTGAAACAGCAATTAGTTATTTGTGTACTTGTATCTAGAGTCTTACATCGAACACTCCAGACACTCCTGCTGGGGCTGCCATGCACACTGGGTAGCTGGGCTCAAGGCTAAGGCTCCGCACTGGCACAGCACCAGTCTTTCCTACACTAGCAGAAGTTTAAGAAATCTATGAATGTGGGGCTGGGGATTTAGCTCAGCGGCATAAGCGCCTGCCTTGCAAGCAGGCAGTCGTGAGTTCGATCCCCGGTACCGATAAAAAGGAAAAAGACAAAAAAAAAAAAAAAAAAAAAGAAATCTATGAATGAAAGCAGATGAAGCATGTTTGTCGCCACAAGCAAATGACCTTACATGTTTTTCTTCTCTCACAGGAGCACTATGTCTTTTACATTATACCACTGTAGTATTTTCTTCATTCCTTCTCCACATGTTTAGGAAGTAGCTGCTGTGTGCAAGGCTTGTCCTAGCTGTGAGGGGACAGTGACAGATTGAAAAGACTGTCTGTCCCTCTCACATTTGGGTCAGTGAGATACAAACACTGCAGTGCACAAGACACAGGTGCACAGGCCTGGCCTGAGGCTAGAGGCCATGCCCTTGTGGATATATGAGCTCAGAAGCCACCAGAATGGCTACAGGAGCTGGGGTGGGTCAGGCTGGTGCAAGGCTGGGACAGGTGGCTTTATACAGATGCGAATGAGTGAAGGAGAAACCTGCTTCTGCGGAGGGACCGAAGGCCAGAGACCAGACAGCAGCAGCACAGTGCTCTTAAGACGAGGCTGGTGAGTTGGAGTCCAGAGGTTTTCTGAGTCTTCTTAAGTATTTTGGTCTTTAAGAGCCATGAGAACTTACATATAGATTTTAAAGGGGAGTGGTCTCAGTAGATGTATGCTAATCTTCAACTGTAGGAAACAGTATTGCTTCCCTGCTTCATGAATCATTTCAGCTCAGACAAAAGTCTCTCATATCTAGACTTGAGCTCACTGAATTCACTGCATCCCTAAATAAAAACTCATTAAACTCACTGGCTGTAGGTAGTTGTTCCAGAGCAATAAGAATACATAAGGCTGTTGTAAAACAGCAATCAAACACAAAGCCCGAAGAAACGTCCCGTGACTTCCAAAGTGTGTGCAGTGTTCACCTGGCATCAGCAGGTGGCGTAAGGCATCATGTTACCACCACAGCAACCAGGAGCAGAGATGAAATTACTTAAAATCTCTGCTGAGTCCGGGAGGGGACAGTGTCTGCTCCCAAACATGCTATTTATACTCCTGCATCGTGTGACCTGGCTTAAGTGTTTCATCCTGCGCTGACTTTTTCCACTCACAAAAGTCTCTCATTACTAGTCTGTATTACTCTTAACACATTTTAATAGGATTTATAACATCCAAAGTTTTGTCTTGAAAGTTTTTATGGTCTCTGTACCCTTCTGCACTAGTGGATTCAGTACTCTGCACAGATCAAGGCTAACAAGCACTTTTAGCTTTTGCTGGGCTAGAGCCAAAGAAACGTTTGGTAATCTTTTGTCTCAGAAGATACGATTTCAACTTTTTTCGAAGAACTCAGACACATCCTAAGGTAACAAACTTAGAGAAACAGTCTTTCTTGTATACATATGAAAGGGAAGATGTATTAGATCTCCAAAACCTTAAATTTTTTCCTGTGCTCAGCTTCGGAATCAGGACTGTCCTCAAGGCCTCAGTTCTCTTCCTGAGGCCAGTGACGGACTTTCAAGCTGGGCCAGGACTGCGGTACCAGGGCTTACCCACCTCCACTCTGCCTTGTGGTGCAGGAATGAGTTACACTGGTCAGGAAGGCTTGCATCATTTGACATGGACTCTAGAATTGAAATGATTTGCTTGAATGATGGCCGTTTCTGCAGAACAGAAGAAACATAATCACTTAGCCTTAAGAAAGAAGAGAAAAACGTAGGCACCCACAGCCCACTAATAAGCTAACTCAATCAGGACAAAATAAAATATTGATACAATGTTCTGATGTAGTTACTTCACAGTTGTCAAATCACTCTGGATAAGTAGTACACATGTTCAGTCCATTTTTACTCCTAAGAATAAGTCAGATGTTGATTTTTCTGTCATGTGAGATAACTAATATTCTTCCCTACATAAAGAGTACACCAATTCTCTCTGTGAGGTATGATTAAGGACTCGCAATAGGAAAAACTCACTTAAAAATCTATGTGATGAAGGCATTAAAAAGTTTGCACAGTGGACATGTTCATATTCCCTGTAAAACTTTTTTAAATTTTTATGTGCATTTGAAAATTTTATATAAAATGCTGGGAGAAAATATATTTATCAATCTATTGGAAGTAACAAAAATTTCCCAATAAGTTGGGCAGCAAAACAAAAACAAAAACAAAACAAAAAACCAAAAGCAAAAACCAGAAGACAAAACCAAAAAATCTCCAAATGTTAAAGGTATCCTAACTTCATTGTTTCTAGTCTTTACCCCACATTAGCTTTAGGCTGGGACACTGTAAGATATTCTTCAATAGAAATTGAAAAAGCAGCGGTTAAGTGTATTTCTTCGGCAAGCAGTGAGTATACTAGTCTGTCTTCAGATTCCAGCCAAGGTTGAGACAAAAGGTTAAAACAAAAATGGAGAAAGATAATAAAAGGGTGATGCACCTTCTCTCTTCAGCATGCCTCATAATTATACCGTTTCTGAACAAATTACAGTCACTGCAATTAAAACATGCATTTTAATTTAGGAGCATAAAAACAAGAAGGAACAATGGTGAGGTGGTGGCTTGTTCTCAGGACTTACGTGCTTCCTACATTACTAAGAAAAGCAATTTTTGCATTTCTCAGAAATATAAAACTAGGATGTTCATTGAGCTCTATTATTATTGTTCTTCTTTAAGGATGAAAGAGAAAGAGAGCGAGCGAGAGAGAGAGAGAGTGTGTGTGTGTGTGTGTGTGTGGGTATCCTTTTTAAGAAGGCAGCAAAAGAAGGCACAAATGTGACTAATGTACATTAAATTATCTAATAAAGAGGAAGATGGCTTCTGCAAGTAACTTTTAAAATATTCTGTCTTCTTTAACTTTCTTTGTACCTTAATTTCTCTACCATATGTCAGGTTTTAAAAGAAAGAATATTTTAATTGTTAGAGGAGGAAATAATTATATAATAAATACAGGACTTTCATTTTGCAAGGCAAAGCAGCAGGAGGAGCTCATGAATTTTTAAAGAAATATTTTTGCCTGCATTTAATTATTCTTGAAACAAGGTAAAATTCTTTTGTAATTGGATGATAAGCATCCCCAGAAAAATCTTAATTGTAATCTGTGCTCAGAAATGATGAATGTGAACACTTAAAAACCAGTAAACAGCTGGGCAACATGGTGTACCCTGTAATTTCTAATTGGGAGGCTGAAGCAGGAGGATCACCCAAGAGTTTGTCACCAACCTGGACAACCTAGCAAGACACACTGTCTCTAAAAAAATAAACACAACAACAATATAGAATTTTGTGGTGATATTTTTTTGAGCATTCTGGTTGTAGAATATATTTGGTCTAGGATTTGACAGGCATTCTTCTGGGGGCTTAGATTGCTTTAAGGTATTACGTATATTTGCTTATTTAAATATTTAAATACTAGGTGGGCTGAATATTTAAATTTTGGGGGCTTAGATTGCTTTAAGGTATTACGTATATTTGCTTATTTAAATATTTAAATACTAGGTGATTTATTAAGCATCTTTTATTTCTCTATTTGTCTCCACTTTATAAATAAGGAGAACAAGTCTCAGAAAAGTATAAACTGCCCAGCATCACATGCAGACATAAAACTTACAGACATAAGGGCTCTGCTTTTTTTTCCCATCTTTTATCAGAAGGGTAAGATGTTACCTCTTCTTGGCTTCAGCTACTGATTCCTTATTTGGAAATTTCATATTAAGATTTAAACCAATACTCTTCTTTTTTGCAGTAAAACACTTTGAGTATCTGGCATAAGCACTAGAGTGACCCAACACTCAACACCAGCTTTCTCTCATATACATCTCCTCCTCCTCACTGCAAAAGAACCCCAAGCCTAGAGATGGACCAGCTATTTTAATTTAGGTGTTAATATTCCAAAGCCTAAGGGTTGAAAAAGAGGTGAAATGCTTTAACCAACGATTGCTCTCCAAATGTGCATGGGACTGGGTTCAACTTCTTGTTGACTTGTATTTCTTGCCAAAAAACTACAATGTACCTCAGAAAATTTATTTTGTTTTGGCTTTTTTGGGCAACAACAAATTGGGCATCTACTGAAGTAAACTGATAAGAGATCTTACAGGGAAACACACACATAGGAACAGCTCTATGCAATCCATTTAGGAAGAAAAATATATTAAACAAAACAAAACAAAGCACTGCAGTACCAAAGAGTACAGTAGGCCAGACTGTGGTTTGGAGGAGTTCTAAGCCTAGGATGGGGCAGGCGGAGTAACAGGAAAAGCCCAACGATGAAAGATTCAGGGGGAAGCATGACACAAAAGCAGTATCAGCAGTCAGGGGAAAGAAGGCCTGCCTGGAGATTAGTGAAGAGAAGGTTGGAAATGTGGGCTATAGTCTGCTGTACAATCAAATCAAATACAGGAGGCGTGGCATAGTTTTATCAGAGTAAAATTTCCTAATTTTAGGAAACAAAAATCAATTTTAAACCCTCCTTATACGATGCAAGATAGGAACACAAAATTCTTTTGGTCATAAAGAAGAGTCAGTTGTCTACACAGTAAATGCCTGACAACCTCAGGTTGTCTACGTTGGAACAATTACCCTTGGTGAGTGAGGTATTCATACTATCACTTAATCAATGTGGCATGATGTACATTCTTAAAATTTTAATGAATGTAGTACCAATTAAAAATTAAAAACTTGCTTTGCAGACAGAAATGTAATTACAGTTATAGAAATATAGTTGCATTCATGTAATTTCAAATAAATTTCTATTAAAGTATGACAGAGAAAAATACTACCCAAATCTCCATATATGTTACAATGGACATATAATTTGTAGAAGGAGTAGGGACAGGGTAAACAATACATTTTAAACAGTATAAATGTTCTAAAGAAAGCTTGAAAATATCTGCTTACAATTTCAACTGGATTAGATACAAAGTGCATAATGCTTTAAAAACTCACATTCTGCAAAGTCACACAATAAAAATAACGGCCTACATAGGTAAAGGTGACCATTCAAAACTCATGCAAAGAATACTAATAAAAATAGTAACAAACCTAAATAAAAATACTGATGTTGTTTTAAAACATGCTCTTAAATAAACATGATACCAAATAAACGTAGGAGTTGATTTGAAAAAAAGATAGGGAAGATTTAAGGATAGAAGCGAACACAAAGATTGAGGCCGCTGAATAGCATTGCTGGATGAAGGCACAATGCACGGGGCTCGGGGAACCAGCGCGTGTGTTCCAGGTGACAGTGACCATGGGCACGGCAGGTCTCAGTCACAGCACGGGGCCCCTCACTGCGATGCCTGCACTGCTGCACTCCGCCCTCAGTGCAGAACATGTGCACGAATCAACATGAATTCTGTGTTTCGCTAACACAGTCCCCAAGTTCACAAACTGTTTCTGAACTTTACCACCAAAGCACCAGGAGGCACAACAGCAGACTCTGCTGTCATCGTTCATTTTTCTGGGGGGGGGGGGGTCACACTGGGGCTGGGTTAATAAAGAGTTCGGTTTTAAGTCTTTCTTTATAGGCCTGTGTTTCAAAGGTCAGTTGAAATACTATTTCCATGAAAAACTGAACAGGTTTGGACTGCGATGGTTTTTGGTCCTTTCCTGTGTATAACTGCTCTCTTACTCCAAAGTTTACTTGGTTGAGAATCTTTCATCCTTTAACTTTTTATTATGGAAAATTCTTTTTTTTTTTTTATTATGGAAAATTCTAAGCATACATAAAAGCAAAGGGAACAATATAATGGAACCTCTATTAAAATTATTTTTAAAAGCTTCAAAAATTATCACAGCCAATTTTATTTACTCTACACTGTCATACATTTCCTTTCACCTTATTTTGACACAGAGACTGGCATATCATTTTATCTGTACGTATTTCCGTATGTGTGCAAAAGTCTTTTAGAATGGTCCTTGCTGCAAAAGGAAATGAGTCATTCATGTTCAGATGTGATAACCACATGAAAGCCTAAGTTCTGGAATTTCTCCAACTAGACTGTGATAGCTCAAAATATTTCTGCAATTGGACAAGGAGAATGTAACAAGAGTCTCTGCCAGTGCTACTTGTGCCTGCTTCTTGGTTAGAAAGGCAATTCAGAATAGGGTTAAGAGCAGGGACTCATGCCAGGCTGCCTTCATGTCCAGCCACACTGTGTATTATCTGTGTGGCCTTGGCTTATTGCTTAACCTCTCTGTGTGCCTCGATTCTTCAATTGTAGGATGAGAATAATAGCAGCTTCCATTTTCAAAGAGGCACTCTGAGGAATAAATGAGTTCATATACATAAAGTGCTGGGAACAGTGCCTGGTATGTAACAAGTACTGTGTGTTAGCCATTTTTATAATATAAAAGTGCAGTGGTTATTATTAAAGATTAAAAACAAAAAGACAAAAAGTTACTTTCACTGAGTCAAGAATTCCAAAACATGTTTTAAAAAGCCAATAATGAGACTGTGGAGATGAAGATAAGGAGATGCCAACAGAGAGCCTTCAAAGTCAGCCTGGGGCTCACAGGAATAGCAATTCAGCTTTGCAGTACAAGGGATTTTACTACCTCAAGTTTGAAAACTCAAAACCATACAAACAAGTGAAATTTCAGGATTCAAAATAACAAAAAAACATACCTTGGCATCAGCTTCCCAACACTGATGTAACAGTTCAGCAAAACTTCTGGGGCAACTGCTTGGAATGGTTAGTCTCTACAGGAAGAAAAAGAAAACAAAACAAAACACAAGAATTTACTCATTAAGGCAGGCAAGTAGTATTTGAAGAACCCTAAAAGAGCTAAACCAGAATCATAAACAAAATATGAAATTTAGAAGTTCCATGGATCAATATATGACACGGTAGAATTTATGCTGAGATTTATAATATCTAAACTCTGAAGGCTTCTACTTTTTCTATAAAGAGGAATCTTAACTAATGGAGAAGTCAGACTCAAGCACAACTAATGTAACAAAACATTCAAGGAGCCTGACTTCAGATAAGTGGTATAGCACCTGTTTAGTATGTGTTAGGTCCTGGGTTCAATCTCCAGCACTACAAAAATAAATGAATGCCAGTCAGCCTTCACTATACACTAACGTCCTACAGGATCAAGAATTCACAGCTCATCAAATATAAGTTGTCATGTTGATTCACACAAGCAATACAAGCAAGCAATGAGGTTTATCATTTTCTGGGCCTAGACTCTAATTCTGATTTAAGTATTTTTTTTGAGCAGTTTCAAAACAGAAAAATTTGTAAGAATTGAACTATCAAATAAAATCCATCAAAGGCAGACTGATTTTTATATTTTATTTATAACTCTACTGAGATTTTTGAGGCTGTCACCAACAACAGTTTTCTCTCAGTACTGCAGGCATTAATACGAGAAAATCTATCAGGTTGCCTTTGCAGCTGCTGGACTCTATTTACCCAGAGATGCCAGGACTTACAAATGCCTCATTATTGCCTCCAGTGTGGCCAGGCCTGAGAATGTGTACAATGCAACATACATGTTTCATTTACTTATCTTTTATACTATAGTACTGATGTAAAATATATATTGATGTAAAATATATTTGGTGCAGGTAAGCTGTGCTTCTCTGTATTTCCTATGGGGGACTGAAAGTGTTACCACAGTTGTTAATCAAGCAAACACTGGGTGTGCCCAAGTTGAGAACTGCATCACTACAAAGTATGAAGAAGATTTATTCCCCAGTACTGTCTTCTAAACAAGTCTTATACGCAGAAAACTTGGCACTAAACCTAGCTGGATTTAGGGGAAGCTATACGTAAAGCTAGAAAGAAAACTGATGATCTGTTTTTGGAATTATAGATAATCCTAAAGTCAAAACAAAGTTAATGAAACAATCCTCTCCAGAGTAAAGACTACACAAAGCACTTTTAAACTTCTAGTCTTGTAAATTCACAAGAACAAAATGTATGAAGCTGTACTATTATTTTACTGTAAACTGGACCCTCATCAAAAGGAATACCAAATGTTTGTTTTTTCCTCCTTAAAGTATCTGGGAGATGGGAACTAATGAAAACGTACTAGTTATGCAACTAAATTTTCCTCATGTAGAACTAAGGATAATGAGTTTTTGGAAAGGGTAATACTTTTCTTTTTTTTTTTGTCTTTTTCGTTTTTTTTATCGGTACCAGGGATCGAACTCACGACTGCCTGCTTGCAAGGCAGGCGCTTATGCCGCTGAGCTAAATCCCCAGCCCCCAGGGTAATACTTTTCAATATAAGCTTTTTTTCAACATTCTTCTGTGAGCTGAAATGAGAACTGAATGAATATATATGAGTATTTCTGTCATCTTTTCCAGCTGAACACAACACCTGAAGCATTACACGAAGACACAATTATTTTAAATAATCTGGTATGGTCAACTATCAGTTAAATCTAGACTCACTTTATGTAAGGGATTTTTTTTTTTGGCGCATTAAAAAATACTTTAAAATAGAATCCAAAATATTTAAATCTTGATTACATAGCTGCACATTCCTAATGCATTAAAACATTCTGAAATAATGTAGCACCAGGCTTGCAATACTATAAAATTTAAATATTTATAAATAGAAGTTCATGTTTAAGATTAAAATATTTCCCAATCACTAAATTAGGCATAACATTTTTAAAGATCATATTTTTACACCATTTTCTACGTAAGACATAAAAAGTATTTTTAAGTTTTTATTTTTCTGAAGTATAGTCAAGCAGAGTAGATTAATTTTTATGAATGTTTTTGTTTTATAGTTTTACTTCTCTTTTTTAAAAACATTTTATACAAGAATCTAAATATTTATAAAAATAGAAATTATCCTAGCAGAACATCTGAAATGCTGATCAAGATTCATGGGACTGACAAAGCAAATCAGCATGCTTTTTTATTTAAAAAATTTTTAGTAATATCCTCTTAATTTCATGTCTTCTATAAAGACTCATTGTTTACTTGGTAAACTTTAGTAGAGCTTTATGAATCTAGGTTTAGTGTTAGAAGAGACTTGTGGTTAAAGGTCTAATTTCATTAATAAGGGATTAGAAACAAAGACTCTCAGATACAGTTTTGCAATGTATTAATTCTTTGGCAGATGAAAATCACAGTGATGAATAGTGGAACTAAGATCTGGCACTGGTTAAGAGTAATGTACGGATCTCAATTCCCTAGTTTTGATACTATACAACAGCTATATAACGTATCACCAATAGGGAAGCTGGGGGTAGAGTACATAGAATCCCTTGCAGTATTTTTACCAATTCCTGTGAGTCTATAGTTATTACAAAATTAAAAATTAAAAAGAAAAAGCAACCTGAATGGATATGGATATTACAGGCTGGCTGGATCACATCTGAAATTTCTCCTTGATAGTTTAAAGACATCATTCTTTATTTAAATGGAGCCTATTAAAAACATAGCTACTTTTTTTTTTAACCCAATAACTGAAGGTATTCAAGTTAAAATAAGTAAATAAATTAATTAGAAGTTGAAGGGGTTTTATCTTAATTTTGTTATTAAATGAAATCGATCATTGGGAATTACTGCTGTATCAAGAGAATGTGTTCTGGAAATGACAGTCTCCATTTATGAGGTGAAACGAAGACACGTTCTTGAATGATGACATCGGAAATTGCATTTACACTTACCTTCCACATTGTGAGCAAATAAGTACTGTGCACATAAATATTCTTATAGTACCCAGTATTACCTAAGTTCATTAGGAAAAAATGAGAGAAGTTGTATAACCATGTGTGTTCTCTGAACTAACATCCGTATTTGATAATTACAGTATGGGAGGTCCTTGAGCAGCCTTGGTGAGTCAGGAGCTGATCATCAGAATGCACCACAGTAAACAGTGCTCTCTGTGGGATCTGCTGGGCACAGAAGGAGGCTGTCTCCTTGTATACAATGTTACAAAGGGGCTGAAGGTCATTTGTGGGGATTCCCAACCCTTAAGCAGCATCTAGTTCATCTTTCTCTTCAGCTTTAAATATCTAATGGTTTAAAAATGCTTTAGGTTTACACCTGTTCTGCCTTCCTTTAGAATGGAATATTATTTAACAGTATTATAAATATTAGGAGGGTCCAGTTAGCTTTAAAAATCCCTTCTCCTGGTTTATCTTAGCACAGTGTGGAGGGGGTTCAGAGGGGGTTGCTCTGCTCCAGAGTCAACTGAAGGTCAATGATTCGCTTCACTTTTCACCTGAAAGCTCTGAAGCAAACATCTAATCATTTCACTGCCAAAAACATAGAACAGAAACAAGTGGCTCCTCATATTCTAAAACTATATTACTCAGAATTACTATCACATTTAATTAAAATCAAGCAGCTTCTGTGAAAACAATGAGTAAGGCACATTCTTGCATTTAACTCCTTTTCATTTCTTAAACTGGCAGCTCTCTCTCATTAAGTTCAGCTATCATCAATATTTCATCCATCTTCAATCAACCAGGAGGACAAATTAGTAAGGTTAATTCTGGATTATGTGATCTAAAAGATGGAAACTTGGTTTCTCCTACTCAACAGCAGCTTTTTGAATAATCTAACTTGTTCCTGCAACTCACATAGAGAGATCAATTTAATTCTTTTACAGAATTAGCAAAGCAATATCTTTATACATTTGCCTTTTGGAAAATTATTTTATCTTAAAATTGCACTCTTACCCTTTGTGGAGGGCTCAGATAAGATTTGGAAATGAAGAAGTTTTGTGAAATGAAGTTGTTTCGCCTTGCAAAGACAACTGCATGCTTCCATTACATGATCTGAGTCCTCATAATACCTTGATACTGGATGCTTCATCCTTATGCTGAGAATTTCCATGGCTGTGCGTTTCAGGCACAATTTTAAACCTTTCAAAATGTAGTTGCTCTCTTTGATATGAATGTGCCATGTTCTCTGATGTAGGCTCATAGGTCCAACTAACTGAAAGCCTCAATTTGTGGGAAGAAGAAAAGCGAGGCTGGGGACACAGCACAAACGGTGTTTACGCCACTGAAGTTCTTTTGAAATGGAAAGGCTCTGCATGAAGAAGCGAACAGTTATGCCACTGCCTCGCCAATTCCAGTGAGGAGCTCATCTTCAATGTAGTGTTCAACGTAGGTGGCAAAACTGTAATTTTTCCCCTTTTTGAAACTATTTTTTCTTCTTTTATTTTTGAAATTCTCATCTAAGCGACAGTTTCTTGTACTATAGTGACTCCTGCTGGGAGAGGTAAGTTGAAGTAGCTGAAGGTCTCTTACAGATATATCAACTCCCGGCCAGTAAAAAAGATGTCCTAAACGCAGGAGATGGAGTTAAACTGTTCCCCTACCTTGGACGCAATGGCTTCTTTCATCACTAAGAACAAACCCCTAGGTTTTACAATTGAGACTGAGAAACTAGTACAGTACTTGTACAATTTTTGATCTACAGCATCACGACGTGAAGCTGCAACAATTAGATGTAAAGGGTCCATTCATGAGGAATAACATCACTTTGACCCTTTGTGTTAGCTCCTACTGCTAATCTTTCCATAAGCGTGAACTTACTTTCAATTTGAAGAAGATGAAAAAGTCTTTTGCAAAACCCCAATACTGTTTTCTGATCTATGTACCTGAATGGAGAAACGTAGTCTTACCTCGTTTTTTTCCACTACAAGCCAAGCTACTTGTAATCCTTCCAAACCTTTAAAGGGGACCTCCCTTGTTAGCATCTCCCAGAGAACCTGGAACAAAAAGAAAACGGAATTTTTATTCTTGTACTTTATTTTTGGTATATTACTGAAATTTTATCTAACATTTAATTGTACCCAATTACCAGGCACAACCAACCCCATCTATAGAAACTTGGACAACCTCTATATGTATATATTTACACACAGGACTTCTTTTAAATTTTATGTATTTTTTATGTTCTTTTTTAATGAAGAAAAACCTCAGTTTAGAAGAGTCAGACTTAAAATTTTATGAAATCAATGAGTCTGAATATTTAACTTTATCTCTCAAGTTATTGAGATTTTTCACATATTCCCACAAATTACATTTTATATTTTATTAGGTAAAACTCATACTACCTTCAGTCTCTGATACATTTTCCTATAAAAGGAAATTCAAAATTTTTCAATAGTAATATTGTAACAAAAACAAGACCCCAATCTAAATCACTGGCAAAACCACTAACTGTACAATGGTAAGCCTTTGTAAAATTGCAACATTTAAGATTTTGTGTTTTGGATAAATGTCTCTCAAAATAATGAATCCATTTTTATCTACCTATAACTTATAACATCATATGCTAAAATGTAATATATGTTTTATATACACTTGAGCTATGTGCATGTGAGTTTATGAGGATTAATCTCTGCAACCCTTGAGATAAGCATGACTAACAAATCTTAACAGGAAGGCCCAAAGCAAGCAAAGCAGTGCTAAGAATGCTGCTGATTTTGGTTTCTCTTTAACCACTAAGTAGCAGAGGCTGGGATGCTCAGTTACGTTCTCTATTTATACAAACGGACATCCAAACTTTGAGTCTACTAATACTTTGTAAAGTGCAAATTTTAAAAAATTTTATCAATAATAATAATAATAATAACTACAATCATTTACTGAGTGCTTATTACATTCTAGGCACTGCTTATCTGTGTCATCATGCTCAGTGTCGATCCTCTCACACAGGTATTATCCTCATGTCATAGGTGAGGAAACTAGGATTTAGACAAGTTAAATAAACTTGCCCAAAGACATTTAGCTAGCAAGTGACAGACTAGAATATGAACGTGCTGTCTCACCAGGAAGGCCAAGTTCTAATCCCACCCCATGTCATTCTAGGGAATTACACGCTGTAAGGGGAGGCTGCAGTGGTAGAGAGAATACACACTGCATGTTGTAGGTGCTGAGCCATGGCAGAGGCAAGAAAAGACTCAGCAGTTTGGGCTTAAGATTTCTCTTGTTCCAAACATGAGAATCTATTTCTAAATGAGAATAGAGGACAAGTATTCTATTCAAACAAGTTCTGTAAATCTTGATCCACTATTTCTTCAGCTAGCACTCAGCCTTATTCGAGCCACAACATGTTAAATGAATGCTCGCTAATATGAAGATAATTAGCAGGTAAATCAGGGAAATTGGCAGATGCTGCTCAAGCTGGAGGGGGAAAAATTCACTGAAGCCTCTTTGGGCTTTTAATCAAGTGTATAAGGTACTTCTTTAGAAGAGCTACTGAATAATTCTATTTGAGTCACACAAGTGATTAGGAAAAGGTAAGGGGCATCCCAGAAGGGGACAATTCGAGTGATGGCTGTAAGTAAGGGAAGGGTGAGAGCTAGCACAGGTATGCAATCACCGTGACACATGCCTGCGCCACGGAGGAGGCAGCAAGTGGGCTGAGCAGGAAATGAAGCCCCTCAATTTGCTGCAATTACCCCTCCACTGGCGCTGGGGATGGGGGGAAGGACATGAAGAGCAAATAAATGGATGAATCTGGCATTCCTATGGAGAGAAGGAGTCAGCTCGAACAAATCAATTGCTCTAGACTGAAAACTGTTCAGATGAACCACCTCACACCTCCTTCTTGGTTTGGCCGGTGCATACATTACACTCGTGTAAACATGTGCACACACACACACACATGCACACAGAAAGAGAAAACGCACCAAAAACTATTAATTCTTCATCCTGTATTGCAAAATACTCTGTGGGAAGATGTCTAAAACCTAGTAAGATCTGTGCTCTAACCCCGAACTCCCTCCCTGTGTCTTGGAAGATCCACTGTAGGCAATGGAGGCGCTTGATGAGTGTGAAACTGTGGGGACAGCACTGCTAATCCTCACGAGCCATCACGTTTTGAAAGCCAACTGAGGCTTACACTTTGGTTCCAGTACCAGGACATCTCACTGGTTTCTTTTACTAATTCTCCAGGTTCAGGAAAGCACCAAAAACTAGGTAATATGAGACAGGACAGCTTTTTATACACTCAACAAAATGACAATGGGCACACAAAAACCCTTCTTATAAGAATTTTGTTGAAGTCACTGGAGGTCTAAAAATATATTAAATGATGCCCTAAAATACCACTTAGGAGGATGCGAGCCAAACATTATTGTGATCTTACACCTTAAAAATATTTTCCAACTCATTGTATATTGAGACATTGTCCCAGTTAAACTGTGCTCACAAGGAAAATTTCTATTTTCAGTTTACAGAACAGAAACTTGGACAAGGCTGTGTACTTCTGCCTTTTCTCTTACACACAATAGAAAGCCATTACCTGAGCCTGGCTGGTTCTGGAACACGGCTCACAGACAAGTGCACAGTGAGGCTTTTTCTTAAGCTACTTAGTTTTCAGGGCTGGTTTTGGCTGAGAAACTCCTAGGAAGGTAATCCTTTCTGCATTGTCATTAGGGTAGCTTTGTTTTTAGAGAATGACGAGGCCTTGCATTCTTGGAAGGCTTATTCTTTCAATGAGTTTTGCCTTCCTGAAGTCCTTTCTCTTTTTGTAGATTACACACTAAACACGCTTTCTGGTTTGGTGTTTCAAGAGAAGTTATCATAAGAGGGTAGAAAAATCTTTCTTATAAAATGAATAGAGGAAAAATTATCTGCCTAGCAATGTTTACTCCTTAGAAAGAGAGATTACAGAATCCACTTCTGGCACTGGTAGCATATTTGTTTTAAGGTGGTGCAAGGCAAGAGAGACTTGCCAGGAAGCAACACGCATCTAGGAAGCTGCAGAGGGCTAATCTTCCAGGGAATACTAGAGGTTAAACTCTCACAGCAAGTCTGAAAGAAAATAGAAGAATAAAAAGTAAAAACGTACTTTTTTGAGTGGGCCTCAAAAATGGACAACTCTTTTGGTGGCTTTATTCACTGATGTGTGACTGCTGCGTGTAAGGGGGAAGTCTCGAGCCACAGAATGAGCTCTTAATGAACTATGGGTGCTTCATGCAAACAGATGCTCTTACTGACAGAGTCCTGGCTATAGACCTCTTTCTGAAAGGACACCAGAAAGTCTGAATGGCCACATTATTTTCTTACGAAGGTATCATTTTCAATGTTCGCGGACACTTCTAAAAAGAATGTGGTCCCAATTTTAACAAGTATCCTCTCTGGCTCTTTTATTTAATATCTACTTGAATATATAATGCTTTCTTCATTAAAAAAGTGGGATTATCTAAAACATGATTCTGGAAATTATGCCTTGTACATTTTCTTTCATTAATAATGTTTACTTGGAACAAATGAAAGGGGGGACTAGAATCAAACACAATCTGAATTCTTGTTTATAATCAAGTTAAAATCCATACACTTTTCTGAATGGAATACTGCAGATAGAGCTTGGTGCTTGAGGTGAGCCAGAATTCTGAGCCAACCTTCACTTCAACAGACAGACAACAATGCTGTTTAAAAACTGAGTCACTGAGGAGTCATTTCTGTTTCTATCAATTAAGGGAAAGTACTAGCATGAAAGTAGAATTGACACTGACACAATCCTGTCCTGTGGCTGGGGGCACATAGGTTCTATCTAGCAATATCTGGTTTGTAAATACGCTTCAGCCAAGTAAACGACTAGGCAGAATGATTTGCTAGACTATTTGTTAAATCCTGAAGCAGGCAAAGGTAGGGTGAGTAAGCAAGAAGACAGAGCCCTAACATGCAGCCAGACATGCTCAGCCATTGCTCCTGAACAGCAGTGCATAGCTGCCTGGATGAGAGGTTTTCACTGTACAATAACCAACACCTGTAGCTCTTGAGCAGACTCAGACTGTAAGAAATAGAAGTTGAAGTGTGAAAGATACTATAGAGATACAAGAAACTTCCTAAGGTTGGATCTTCACCTCTCAATACCTTTAACAGTTTTTTTTTTAGGGCATCTGTTCTTGGTTACTGGTACTAAAATTGTATTTCAGCTAAGGAAAAGCAGATGAGCACATTTTATATCACAGTTCTAGGAAACTGGAAGCTTTGAAAGAAAGTGTCCAGGAGTTTGTTTTGATAAATGAAATAATACCATAGCCAAAAATTTGGTTTCTTCTATACCTAACTCACAGTAACATCTTTAGGTCAAAATTTCTAGCGGAAAAATTTCAAGACTTAGGGTGAATTTTCAAAATAAAAGTATTGCATGGGCTCAGGAGTATAAAATGAGCCTTAAAAGTTTTCCAGTTCATATAACTGGAAAGCAATTTAAATGTTGTGACCTCCTAAATATGTTCATATGCTTTTCTATACACATGCACATAACAGGAGTCAGAGCTGGTCTCTTGCTGGAACCACAGAGAAAGTGAGGGCCGCTCAGCTGTGTTCTCAGTCTTGCTGCTTATTACTTCCTGAGCCCTCTTGTTCCACAGAGGTCTCCAAAGGAGGCCTGCTGCCAAGAAGAGTGGTTTAAAGGGTTAAGAAACAAAACAAAACAAACAAAGCTAACTAGGCAACAGTGAACTTAATAGGCCCTCAAAGCCAAAAACATGTACTATCTGGCTCTTTACAGGAAATGTTTGCTGGCTCCTGTTCTACAGGACAGAATGAGGTATCAGTGCCGATGAGCAGGTGACTTCAAATCTGAATTATCCTAAGTTGGAGTCTGGTACAGTGCCTAACTCAGTATAGATATAGATATAGATATAGATATAGATATAGATATAGATAGAGATAGAGATAGAGATAGAGATAGAGATATAGATATCTGCATATATAGATATGAAGTAATGGTAAAAAATATAGATATCCAGATATCTATATCTATATACACCTACATACATATGTTTATTTCTTTTCGATTAGGGATACAACTTTATAAGACAAAAATTTCACAAAGTGTTAAATTTCACAAGTGTTTCACTTTTAGAATCCTAGAGTATGAATGTTCAATGATTAAAAAGCAGTACCTTTTGACACAGGAGACCAGTTCTAGAACTTTTTTTCCATCTTTCAAACAGAATTATTACATCATTATCTGGAAAAATATATACTTTTCATTCTTAAAAATACTCAGCTAAAGGAAATTAGATATTTTGCTTGATATTACTGCTACTGTCCAACCTTTAAAATTATACCCGTTAGCCAAAAGCATGTATTTCATTCTTGAAATGATTCATTCAGTAGCCAGCAAAATGCATCTCTATTACAATAGTTTGGTGTATACAGAACATGTCATAACTTAGAGCTGATCAGCTGAAAGAACTCTGGAACTCAATACGTCTAGCAGTAAACACTCAAGAGACTGACTGAAGACCAATAACATGTCTATGGCTATACTACCCTGAAAGCGCCCGATCCTGTCTGATTTTGGAAGCTAAGCAGGGTCGGGCCTCGTTAGTAATTGGGTGGGAGAACAGTAACTTGTTTAACCATGTTGACTGGTGATTTCCTCTGTGTCACCAGCTAACACCTTCATCAAGAGCGTGCACAGTTCAGGAAGGAGCATGGGCTCCAGCTACTCTGTTCCTGTTTATCTTCCTAGTACAGTGAAAATGTCCTTTTATGAAGTAATGGTAAAAGAAAAAGTATACATGGCACAAAAGGAGACAGACTACAAAGTGAGCTCAAGGCCAGCCTGAACTGCATAGCGAGACCCCATCTCAAAAAAAAAACAAAAAAAAAACAAAAAAAACAAAAAACTGTCCCATCTCTGGCTTCTTTCTCTCTGACAGTAGAGGGAGATCATCTTTCTCCAGGATGACTCACCTCCACTCTCAAAGAAGCTTCAGCTCCTGAACTGGTTCCTTCCTGTGGTCTCCAGTCCTTGAGCATCCTCCCTTATATCTGTACGAGTCTACTCTTCCATGCTTCTCAGTTGCCATTCTCATGTAGTGTTCCATACGTACACCTCAGACAGCTACCATTACTTGGTAAGACTTACGGCAAAACTGGGCAAGGCCATCTCCTAAGTGTGTATGTTTTCTTTCATGCTTTTAGAAAGTCACTTATCTGTTACTAGTTGACACTCAAGTTGCCTGTTAATTAGCTCATGAGGCAGATCTACTGGTAGTTTTATACTTCTTGAGCAACCCATCACAATCAAGTCCTGTTCCAAAAGATCCATATATTCACTGAGTTCAGACATACTCTACAGGCATGTCGCTACTCAGCAAAAATGCACTGTCCACAGAGTGCACTGGACCCTGTGCAAATTCAGGTCACATCTAATCTTGTTCCTTGGAAGGTACTGGTTTTTTCCCAGTACAGGACCAAGAGTTCAGATGCAAAAAGGCGATCAAAATACACATTCCAACAATTAGGATGTGCTCTCCTTGGCAGTCTTCTAGAAATAGCAGCACTGTCACACTAGGTTAAATTGTGGCCCTACTTGTCTCAAGGTTGTTTGTTCCTTGTATTTTGCTTTGCAATAGAAAGAAATGAGAAATACACTCACCACACCATAGGAATATGTGTCACAAGTTTCCGATACAGGGAGACTCTGGATAACTTCTGGAGCCATCCATGGGAAAGTTCCAACCAATGACATGTGTGTTGTATGGTTATGGAACCGAGAAGCACCAAAGTCACAGATCTGAGAACAGAAAAACCAGTATCAAGCTTCTCCTTATTGACTAGTAACAGAATCGTGAGTCACTAAATTACATCTGAAATTAATAATTTTTTAAATTAAAATAAACAGATGGTAAAGAGAGCAAATGAAGTTGGCAGGGCATGGAAGGGAGAGGAGAGGATGTAAGAATTAAGATGTGTCATGTGCAGGCACCAACAACCCAAAACAAATGCATCCATTATGGACCTCAAATGTACTAATAAACTTAAAAAAAGGAACCAGTCCTACCTTCAATACTCCATCAGCAGCTATAACAACTAAAAAAGAAAAAAATAAATAAATAATCACAATCATCTAATTTGTTTGAATAGTCTTACACTGAGGAAAGCGTAACTTTCTTCTTCTAGTTTTGTTTGATATAGCTAAATTTCCAATTGGATATTCAAAGTGTTTACTGAATTGATTGTTCAAAAGAGAGATAACATTATAACCAAAGTTTAATTCCATGAGGTACAGACTGAAATGGCTCCTAAGACACTTGTTTCATATAATGTATATAAACACTGAAAAAGGCATGAAATTTTTATGTGGGTCCTGCCAGGATCAGCTAAGATGAAACTGAGGAAGTCATTATAATTATTACATCATAGTACATTGTTTTTCTTCCCAATTTAAGAATAATTTTCTTAGGCAGAGGCAATATTCACTCATTCACTTATCCATTCATTTAACAACTATGTGCTAAGTATCTACTATGATCAAGGCCATGTAGATGCCTGGAACAGAAAGGTGAGCAAAACTGGCATTGCTTCTGCTCCCATATCTAATCAGAGAGACAGTTAAATAAATATCTATGATAAAGTGGGATAAACACCATGATGAAAGAAAATGAGAATATTATAGAATGAATGAGTAGGGATTCTGAGTCTAGGGAAGTCAGATGAAATTTCCAGGAATAAATGATGCTTATGCTAAGAACTGAAAAGTTGAAAGTTAACCAGAAATAGGAGAGCTGGGAAGGCAGAAGAGAGAACCTAGGCCAAAGCTCAAAAGCCATAGGAAAGGCACAGCAACTCTGGAAGGTAAGAGTCAGGTCAGCAAGAGCCCTGTGGAAAACTGAGCAAGTGTGCAGGGGAGAGACTACATCAGGGAACACAGAAGCAAGGAGAGCACTAGGCATGCAAATGGTTGCAGTCCAAACAAGGAGCATAAGGTACTAGGACTGTGAGAATGCATAGGAAAAAGTGCACTGAGCCTATAAACACCTGGGATGCAGGACTAGCTGGGCCTGACGGACAGCTGCATATGGGGAGGGAGGTTCAAAGATAAGTAAATTAAGAAGCAATATAGTTAATGGTTAGAACCGGAGCTCTGGATTCAAACTGTCAATATATTTGTGTTTAATTTCTTGTGTAGGCAAATGGTATGATTTTTTTGAAGGAGGAGGAAGACAAAGAGACCAATTTAAATGAAATACATTCTGAGGTCATATAAAATATCTGTATGGTTATATTTAATAAGCAGATATGCAGTTTTGAAGTCGAGATGTGTTAGTGTTAATACATTAAGTGTATTCTCATGGGAGTAGGAGAACAAGCAGGTAAGGGGAGAGGAGGCCAAGGATGGAACTTGAAAAATAAAAAATGCTTTTGGTATTTCTTTTGTAAGCCACTAAGTGCCTTAACATCAATTTAGTGCTTAGCAGCAGCTATTTATGACTTTGATAAATGCAGAAAATAATCTATACATGACCAATCATATATTACAGGTAATATGTAATAGCATTACAAGTAATCAGGTATAAACTTATGCCAATAAAATGCAAATATTGCTAATACTATATTCAATTGTTTTAAAAATATCTCTACTATTTTTTCTTATTATAAAGCTAACAAACAGTCATTTTATTTTATTTTGTTTGGTAACGGGGACTAAACTCATGACCTCACATTTGCCAGACATGTACTGTGCCACTGAGCTATATCCCCAGCCCCAAAATTTCATTTTAAAAAATAACATTATAAAAATACATAACATAGAAAATGAGTCTTGTTCCCTCTTCCAGGAAAAAAAATTACATAAAATTAGGTCTATATTATTTCAATGTGAGTGTGTGTATGTTCCTAGCAAGTCATAGCATAAATTTTAACACTATACATTGTATTTAAGTGTTCATAATTACAGCATAAGTAAATTCTCAATTTAGTTAATCACTGTTCTCTCATGAAAGATTAAGGACATAATGCAGTGCAATAGCTTTTTCAGGTTGAAATTCTGAGCATGAACTGAAAATTTACAATCATAAAACTGATACTTCTTACTAGATTATTTCCTAATGATTTACTGTTTGTCAACTATATATTGAAAGTGTTGCCTGGTATGGTGGCACATGACTGCAATCCCAGCACGTGGGAGGCTGAGGCAGGAGGATCACTGCAAATTTGAGGCCAGCCTGGGCTACATAGTGAGTTCAAAACCAGTGTGAACTGCATAATGAGACCCTGTCTCAAAAAATAAATAAATAAAAGTGTTTAGGTTCAAGATGCCTCTGTCTAATAAGGGCCAAGGGATAAGTGATAATCTAGAAGGCAAGCCAAATCAGTGACAGTCAATTGGCAGGGTTACGTTGGGGGTCCAACCTGGACTCCTCAGGAATGGCCACCAAAATGACTTCCTTTCTTCCCTGCTCTTCCCGTGATCAGCCAGACACATACCCCATGTTCCTGTCTCTGAGCAGAGGCTCCTGGCCTTTTCCTTGGTCCTCTTCTACTTCCACTACTATACTAGGAACCACTAGGGGCAAATACCCATTTGAAGAGCAGTGACTAAATGATTTTATAAAAATAAATAATTTTTCTGGGGCTTACTGAGAACTGCTTAGAAAGTGTGGAGACGACTGACAGAAAGATATATTTTTTAAAGTAGTAAACTCATGTTTATTTTACCAAATTCAGATGAAGCTAAATAATCCTACTGCCTTTCTCTGAAAACACTGCAGTGATGCAACAGAAGAAGCTCTCTGTTACTATTCTTACTTGAAAGTAATGCTTACTCCTGCAAGCTATTCTACAGTGCTCACTCTCCAAATTATAAAAAAAAATCATAAAACAAAACTACATCAAGTACAGAACAAGGGAAATAAGTAAAAGAAAAACTTTACCTTCCAAACTTCCAAGAATGCTGATGATTTTTGGGCATTACTCCAGGTAATATGGGCATGAGTACATAAAAATGTTACACTATGTAATTCAGAAGTAATAGGAACAAAACTCAAAATTGCCAGTACAGAGAATCAACTAAAAATAGAGGACTAAAAATATACAACTACATACTTGGACCCAGCAAAACTTCTTTTAGAAAATGATTCTAGAGAAATAATTAGAAAATTTGGCTGAAAGGTATTAAGTCAAACATTTCTTATCACAGAAAAAAATGTAAACAATCCAAATGTCCACATTCTGTGCTATATTTATACAACGGAACAGTACACAGTTTCTTCAAATACTATACAGAATTTGCATTTATTGATAGTGGAAAGACTGTTAGGATATCAGCACTCAACAAGTTGCAAAGGATATACAATGTAGAATGCTTATTTCTATACATAGACATATATAATTTGTAATAAGTCAGGGTTAGGGTTAAGGAAAATAAAAAATATGTGACTATATTACCATTTCTTGACTTGAGATCTCTGTGAATCACCTTGACAGGAGCCTCCATATGTAAATAGTGCATTCCTTTTTGTACAAGAAAAGAAAAAGGTCTATTAATCTTTTTCAACATTGCATTAGTACTTTTAATATTCTTGCAAAGAATTTGATAGCAAAAATTAAATCCATGTGTTTTATTCTTCAAGATTTATAAAACAAACAAACAGGATATATCTATGGTAGTAACACTTAAACAAAATTTATAAACTTTAATCTCTTGAAGGATGGAATTTGATTGAAGTTAAAGCTAATTTCTTATATTACCTAATAAAGGCACCTCAGTTTTCTAGAGTTTGCATGAAAATAGCCAGTAAGGGGCTGGGGATTTAGCTCAGCGGCGTAAGCGCCTGCCTTGCAAGCAGGCAGTCGTGAGTTCGATCCCTGGTACCGATAAAAACAAGAAAGACAAAAAAAAGAAAATAGCACAGTAACCAGTGGAAGAAATGCTTGGTGACTAAGGTATTCCACACTGCCAGCTTCACGTCTGCCCAAGTCCTGCCCCAGCATGCAGCTCTTATTTGGATGCCCGTGATTACCAGTTGCAGCATGGTTTACTTTCTCAGTATTCACCCTATCAAGACCTGGGAGTGAAGATAGGTGGGGAGAGATGAGCTTGGAGAACTGACTAGTGCTGGTTGGTCAAGGATTTTATGATCTTCAGACAGAAAAAATACAGTTATCATAAAGTATTTTCTTCTTTTCACAAATACCAATCTTAGTGATAATCAGTAAACAGACTCAAAAGTTCTCTCCAACACATTTTTAATATAAATCAAGATTATAACCTAAATAATTTTTCATTGTTTTGAATTAAAAAATTATACTTCAAAAGATATACTTCATGTCTTAGTAGTATTTGGCTCTTAGTCATGTTTTAAGTCTCTCTGTATTTATGCATTTGTCACCCTCTGAATATAAAAAAAAAGAACATTCGAATGAACATTTCCTCTCCCTTTATTTTTCAAGTTCTCTTTTTTAAATAATGGAAGAAAAGTTCTTTCTGCCATCAAATCAGACAGGATTCCTCTGAGAATGCATTACCCACTGAAAACCATGTAATAACTACAATTTAAGTTTTTAAAGTATATAGGACATTTCAATTTTATAAAAGTTAATTTATTAATAATCTATTGTTCTTTTACTTTTCATGAGAATCATGAAAGAGCAAAGAAAATAAATTTCAACTCTTCCCATATAACAATATCACTGAAAAGAGTGAACAAAAGTATTAGTAATTTAGATGATTTTAAGCAAAATATAACTAGAATAAAGGGAATCTCTTTTAATATGAAATTTTACATATGTCAAACTGTAAAAATTGAATAGTTTTACAACTTGGGTGGCACTGAATAATCTGTATGATTGAATTTCAGTTACTTCTCTCATTTTAGATTCAAATTCCTGAATAATTTCTCTATTAGGTAGAGAGAGTTTCTACACTTACTAACAAGGATTCCAAAAAACAGCACATGAATATAAAAGCTTAAAACACAGGCACTTTTCTCTGTCACAGGAGATTATAAGGTAAAGTACCGAAAATTATTTGTGAACAAGATATACCATTCATTTAAATAATACTTGGTGTATATGTTATCATTGTAGTATTCACAACCATGTAATATTGTTTAATTTGCTTTTAAAGAGCCATTTATAATTTTACCCTCCGAATGCAAATTATTGAAAAGGTTGGTAAATACTTCTATCAGGTTTAACATTGAGAATTTTCTCAAAAAGATCTGACAGGTGTCACCAAGGAGACTTTTGGGGAGATTTGGAGTCAGGGATGATCACTTTGAGTGTGGATACACGATTCAGCAATGACATGGGGCAATTTCAATCTCCCCTTCCTTATTCTTCATCCTACCAAGAGTGAAGATAATCCTTTTAGCTTTGAGGACACAGTGTCTCAATGGCAGTTAGGATAAGCAATGCCTGTTTCAAAATGCATGAGCCAACTCTTATTTGGAATGAATTATTCATCCTTTGATTTCTCAACACTGTTGCTTCAGTGGCTTCAATCTCAGCCAAATTGACAAGCTCACAGTTGAATTTGAAACAGAAATCGACAAAAGTCAAGTCTTCCTATTTAAGCTCTAAGTTCTCCACCTAGCTTTTCAGGAGAAGGTTGAAGTCATTCTAAGACATTGATTTCTTTTCCTTTGTAAGGCCATCAGAAAGGATTTTTAAATGTTACACAGTATATATAAATAAGCCTCTTCTCAGCAGATGCCAAACCACTGGTGCTTGCCTCTCAGATCAATTCATCAACCAAGCAGAGGAGGAGATTACTTAATAGCTTGGACTCTGTTTATCAGGTCTGCTCCCATCTCCGTCACTCTCCTTCACCTCTAGTTCTAGTTTGCTACTTAGCTCTGTTCATTCTCTTCGCTTTCCTTCTCATATAGACAGCTAGTGCCCTTCAAAAACTCTGGAGAATGACAGTCCTGTTCTACAGCTAAGAGACTTGGCCCTCAGACACAGCTCCTGTGGGGGGTTGGGGTGTGTTACAGGGACCCTGAAGTAGAGAACAGGAAGCCAAGTGTCTGATAACAATGTTTGTTTGATGTCTATATCCCAATGTCGTTCGTTAACTAACATGAGTATATTTTGCCGAGCACCCTAACTATAAAAGTCTGTAAGGTAGTGTCATATGTCAAGAAATGCTTGTATGTGCACCTACATTGACATATGTGTATTTCCATAATGCTGCAGGCAGCTCCCACTAACTGCATATCATCTTGCTTACACACCTTTGGTCTGACATATTACTGACATGCAGAGGACTGTGACACTACATAAAAATAGCTTGAATATGAAACTCAAGGCTGATTCGAGACGCACGATGCATGAATATATAATTGAGTTCATTAGCACAGCCAAAGCTTTAAGTACCCCATCCTTAACACAGAGCTTATTATTCTTATAAGGTAATGAAGTATTGTTCAGAAGCAGCACCTAGCATGGAATTTCAGAATTTTTTTTTTCACTTTCTCTATTTAAAGAATTTGGTGAGTGTTGATAAAATAGTCAAAATAATTCCCCAAAGGAAAGTATTACTTTGGGAGTCACTGTGGGACTGCAATGAAATCAAAGCATGAGTTGTTCTCTTTTTTGAGAAGAAACACTGTATTTACTCTGTAAAGAGATGCTACCCAGGATGGAATAGTAAAATGTGAACGAGTTAATTGCCCAGTGAAATGTAGAGATACTTACTTTCTACAGGTTGCTAGAATACAAATGTAACCATTAACATTCATTACTTAGATCAACTTGTTTCCAAAGCAACTTTGACAGTTATAAATAAAACTAAAAATGTTCAGTTAGGAAAATGGAACAAAAGATAAAAATAAATGGAATTTGAATTGCTTTAGAAACCATTAATCTACACAGAAATTTATGAGGGGAAAAGAACTGAGCATCTTGTTTAAGACTTTATGTATTAAAATATTTCATTTCCAAGTGTGACATCCAAGTTTACATTAAACATAAAATAAAATTTGAATTGTTCATACATAGAAGGATGAAGAAATTTTTTGGCAAGTACTATATTTAGCATATTATTATGTATACAAAATGAGCAGAACTAATTCTGCAATAAATCATGTTTTTAGATACTGCAGAGAAACTTTCAGAGCAAGCACTGAAAGTGAGCTTCTCAATTACAGTTATCACAAAAGGTGGTAAAAATGTCTGCTCCAGAATTTGCTGATTTTGTAGAACTTGATTTTAAGGAAAGAAATAAAAAGAGAAAATAAATTCGTAAGTAGAAAGGCAATGACCTAAAACATTATCTATATGGTAAATTGAAGAATTCATACTCCTTTTGTTCTTCAAAAGCAAGAGATCTCAGGACATAGAATAACATGTTTATGATATAAGCTGCTAGATTGGAATAGGAAAATGTTGCCACTAATTCTGTAAGCAAACACAAAGCAATATTACCTTTGGCTACATCAGTAGCCCAAGTCATAATGTGATCCATATCCATTTCCTCACTCCTTTTGCTGTTGATATAGTCATAGAGTGAACCCATAGAAGCATATTCTATTTCAAAAGATAAGCATATAATTAAAACCAAAGTATATTTCAGCAATTAACATTTTCATCAAGAAAACAGGTTTTAACACAACAATAAAAACATCAAATTATATAAATCATTAAATGCTGTGGTTCTATAGTTAGCAACATTCTGAAAAAACTGTCAAAGAAAAGATCACTGACATAGAATGAATAATAACCTTTAGTTCAGAATTGGAAGTCATTCATCTGGAACTCAAAAACACAAAGTGTTGGAAAAATATATTTGAAACAAAGGCATATATATAAACAGGTATTTCTTTAAAGGCTGCTATTCTTATGAGATGGAAAATATTAAACACAAATCAGAGAGTTTATGTGACAATGTCAACAAATCAGTTCTGGTTGCATTGGGATTTAAGAGTTCACAAAATTTAAGCACAAATGGTCAAGAAAATGATAGATTTTAAATGGCCATATATAAGTATGAACTATATACTATGAAGTTACTGGCAAAAATGTATAATTTCATGATTTTTAGTAAATTCAGAGTTGGTTGATCATTATCATAATCCAAATAGTTCTGCAATGCAACTTTAGAATTGCAAGATCATATGGTAAGTTTGTATTTAACTTGTGTAAGACTACCAGATTGCTTTGTAAAGAGGCTATACCATTTCACAGTCCCTCTAAAAATGAAAGAAGATTTCAGTTTCTCTACATCTTTGTCCTCACTTGATACTGTCTTCTTTATTGTGGCCATTCTAGTGTTTAATTTTAGTGGTATCTTGCTTTTAATTTGCATTTCCCTAGTAACTAACAAAGTTGAATATCTTTTATATTAGCCCATTATGTACGCTATTAAGCAAAATGTCTACTCAGATCTTTTGTTCATATTATTGAATTCTAAGAGTTCTTTTCTCCTATGTACAAGTCCTTAATTAGATATGATTTGCAAAGTTCTTCTCTCTATCTGTCACTGGTCTTTTCACTCCCTTAAGAGAATCATTTTTCAAAAGGCAGAAATTTTTAGTTCTTACAAATCCCAATTTACTGATTTTTCTTTTTTGGGGCCTGCCTGCATTTTGCATCGTTATTTAAGAATGACTAATCCAAAGTCATGAAGTTTCTCTTATTTTTCTTCTAAAAGCTTTAGAGGTTTAACATTTATACTTAGGTTTATGATCTATTATGAGTTCATTTTTGTGTGCTGTATCAAGTTAGGGTCTAAGGTCTGGTTTTGTGTGTGGTTCTCTAGTTGTCTTAGTACTATATAATTTGTTAAGCTGTCTTGGCACTTTTGCTAAAAATCAACTCACAAACAATGTAAGATTTTTTGCCTGCCTTCTTACTTTTATTTCATTATTTATTACGTCTTTAGCTATTATACAAATATCATATTAATTACTGCAGATTTATAATAAGTTTTGAAATAAAACAGGCTCTCTTCAAACTCAGTACTTTTTAAATACTGGTTTGGTTATTTCAAAGTCTTTCGCATATTTGTGTAAATTTGAAGATCAGCTTGTCAATTTCTATGGGGAGTAAAGGTCTGGGGGTCTGGTTGACAGCTCTGGCAGTGGGGAGGGCCTGAGTGGACTCTGGAATGTTCTCCGCAGACCGCAGACCGAGTGAGTCACCCTGCCAGATGCCGTCCTGCTCCAGCCCCGCCTCCAGGAGTAGCCCTCAACCTTTCAGGACGCCCCCATCCAGGTCTCAGCCCTGCCTATGTAAGAGGGCAGGAGACTTATTAAAAGTTGGATGGGTGCCATCAGCCTGGTCTCCGGTGTAATTTATTCCCGCCCTGACTCCGCGCCACTTCCCACGGGCCCAGGTCTCACGCAGCGACAAATTTCCATGAAAAAGTCTACAGATATTTAGAAAAGAACTATGCTGAAATTATAGGTCATTTTTAGGAACAATTTCCTTCTTAACCATGGGAAGAATTTCTTTGTTGGCTGTACTGAATCTTCCAAACCATGAGCATGTAATGCTTCTCTATTTAGAACTTTCTCACAGTACTGTTTTCTATTTTTCATTGTATAAGTCTTACACTTATTTTGTTAATTTTATACTCAATGATATCATTCTTTTTGAAGCTACAGTGAATTGAATTGTTTCTTACTTTTTTAAGTTGTTCATTTCCAGAAATATAAGTGATTTTTGTATGTTGACTTTGTATCCTTGTGATCTTGCGAAACATGTTTGTTAGTAATTTTGGTTTGAATTCCTTAGGATGTTCTACATACAGAAATACAGTGTCACAAAAGAAAGTTTTACTTCTTTCTTTTCAATTCGGATGCTTTTTATTTCTTTTTCTTTCCTGATTGAACTAAAATCTTTAGTATGATGCTGAATGCACTGTGATCAGAATGGAACCTGGTTTTCTTTTCTTTTCTTTTTTTGGTCTTTTTCCTTTTTATTGGTACCTGGGATCGAACTCATGACTGCCTGCTTGCAAGGCAGGTGCTTATGCCGCTGAGCTAAATCCCCCTGGTTTTATTTTCAGTACTGGGGAAAAAGAAACTTTTCACTATTAGGTATGATTTAATTAAATTAATTAATTCATTTCTTTGAGACTGGGTCTCCTTACGTAGGTTAAACTGGCCTTGAACTTATAGTGATCCTTTTGCCTCAGCCTCTTGAATGCTGGGATTACAAGTGTACATCACCATGCCACACTTAAGTACGATTTTAGATGTAGATTTTTGTAGATGCTGTTTATCAAGTTGAGAAAAGGCCCTCTCTCTACTCCTGGTTTGTTAAGCTTTTTCATTGTCAGGGGGTGATATAGTCTGTCAAATTCTTACTCTGCATCTTAAAATACTGACATAAAATTTTGGCCTTTTATTCTATTATCTATTATGGTACCTTACATTAACTGATTTTAGATGTTAAACCAGTCTAGCAATTCCAGAAGATATTCCATTAGGTCATAATGGGCTTTTCTTCATAGAAATATTTAAAATTACAAATTTGAAATTTCTTTTTCTTATAGGTCTATTTGGCTTTTATTTTTTTAAAGCTAGTTTTGATAATCTGCAGTTTTTAAAAAATTTGTTCACTATATCTAAATTTTCTATTTGCTAATAAGAGGCTGGTCACACCGTCGCTGATGGAAGCCGGGCAGCGCTGGGGACTGAACTCCGGACATTCACACCGAACACATCGCAGCCATTTGCTAAGTTTTCGATGCTGAGACAGGCTCTCACCGAGCTGCAAAGCTGCCCAGGCTGGTGTGAACTTGCAATCCTCCAGCCTTCCAGAGTGCTGGGATTGCAGCGCTTGTGGCCTTGCACTGACCTTCAGAGTTCTGTAGGAGGCACAGCACTGTCCTCGCTTTCGCTCCTGCCTTTGCTAATGTGTATTTTCTGTGTTTTCTTGGTCAGCCTAGATAAAGAGTTGTTAATTTTGTTTTCCTTATAAAGACCGATCTTTTCATTGATTTTTCTGTTTTATTCAGTCTAATTTTTATTATTTCCTTCTGTTGGATTACTTTGCTTCTATTTTGTTTTTTCTGTAATTTCTTCAAGGTTGAAGGAGGTTAAAGCTATCAACATCAGATGTGCACTTTTTTGATAAAGGTGCTGGAAACTATAAATTTCACTTTTGGTGCTGTCTTATCTATGTTCTTTAATTTTGACTCATTTTTCTTTAAGTTTAAAACATTAAAAGCCCATTGTGATAAAATCTTTTAGATGTACCAAAATTTATTTCATGGTTAACTTATGGTATATTCTCAAAAAAGACTCATATGTACTTGAAGAAAACATGTATTCTCTGTTGGGGGAGAAGCCCTACATCTGGGGTTTAGCTAGTTAGCTAAGAGTGTTATCTAAGTCTTCTATGTCCATGCTGATTCTATTCAGTTTTTCTAAAAATTATAGTAATTTATTGAGAAGAGGACTGAAACCAGTCATTGTTGTCTATTTCTCTTTTTAATTCAGTTTCTGCTTCACATACTTTGAAGACCTGTTGTTAGGTACATATGCTTTACAATTACTATCAATTCCTGACATGAATCTCTTTTTCATAATAAAATGGCTACATGTGTGTCTAGTAATATTAAGTCTATTTTGTCTGAAATGAATACAGTTACTCTAACATCACTGTCTACATTGGATGTCTGTCTTTATCCCTTTACTTTCAACCCATTTGTGCTCCTTTGAACCTAAGATATGTCTGTAGCAGAAATCTAGATCAATCTTGGTTTTTATTTAGCCTGATAATCTCTGCCTTTTCACCAGCATATTAAGACCTTTCACAATTAATGTAATTACTGATTCAGTGGTTTACATTTACATTTGCCATCTTATTTTCCACATGAATCTCTTGCTCCCTCTGCCATTCTTCCTTAATGCTCTCTTTTCTGTTAATCCTTTTCATGAATCATTTTAGTTCCTTGGTCATTTTTTTTTTAACTATATTTGAGTGACTTTTTCAGTGATGACTCAGGGAATTTAAAATGCATCTTATAAAAATGTATCTTATAGCACAATCAGCTCGTTAATACTAATATACAAAATTTTTATACACTTTTCCCAATATAACTTCTTTCTCTCATCTTATCTACCATTATTGTGACATACTGTATTTGTATCTGTTTTAAAGTCCACATAAAATTTATTGCTTTGTAAAGTTTTATGTTTTTAAAGATACTGTAAGAACAAATAATATATTTAAGGAATCTTTCTTATCAACTCACATATTTCCCATTCCAGTTATTTCTTTCTATGAATTTTAATTATCTGTGTCATTTCCCTTCAGCATGAGGAACACCCTCAGCCTAATATCCTTATAAAGCAGGACTATCCAAGAACACCTTTATTTTTTATTTCATTTTTAAAAAGATACTTTTGCTGCACATTTTTTTCTTTTAGCACTTTAGATATTACTGGCTGCTGGCCCTGATCATACCTGCTCATCCCTTGTGCATGAGGTCTTTTCTCTTGTGTTTTCTTTGTCTTTAGCTGCCATTAAATCACTCTAGAAAAAAATCCCATTTATTCTTTTTTGCCTACAGGACG